GCTGCAAGCGTCCAAAAAACTTACAAATTGGACGCGAAGAGCATGCCACGAGCACCACTAACGAGCGACAATGTTTAAAACATTTGCTCAGCTTACCACTTGCCTCGTCTTGAATAGCTCATTGTTCCAAACCATTTGTTACAGCCGTAGAAATGAGACTGTACAGTCACACTTGCCAGCCTACTCAGTTAAACCTACGCGTAGAGTTACTACCTAGTTCCTATGTAGTGCATGAAAAATTGATGTTTATTTTCTTACACTTAGGAGTTTTATGAATGTTTAGATGTGTGCTACGTGGTTCTGATATGAATACAATACTCCTTTTCTACCGAGTTCTTATTAGATAATATCTAGTACTTAATAGCCCAAAGCGAAAATTACTGTTAGGGTGTGTAGTTACTCAACGCAATTCTATTGCTTATCCTATTGCCTTTACAACAGCCTACAGTCGGTAAACATAGATAATGGTATTATGGTCATAATAAATCCGGTTTTCTATTAGCATTAGCGAGCACGCGCGCGACTTCGTAAAACACGCTTTGAGAAGCAATTTGTCATTAGTTTTGTTTGATTGTAAACGATACTGAAATGTGGTGTCGGGTTTATCGGATTAAAATGAAAATTATGTCGAAGTTACTAATTGATAAATTTCGCTTTTACGTAGCAACGATTTATACTCGAGCTATAAATAAAACTTACATTTTTAGGAGCCTAAAATTAAAGGAATAGTGTTGTTTTATTGAATTTCTAGTACGATGAAGCTTGTTTAATGTAAAAGGAAATGAGAAAACTGTAGTAAAGTATGCGAATGCGAGCTACTTATAGCAAGCTGCATGTCCGGTCAATCTATCGCGAACTCGTCACTCGGCACTCCCTCTCTATTCAATGGGGGTGAAAACACATAATGTCTTTGTTTACATAAATCTGTTTTGTTACATCTTTCAAGAAGGTAGGTGGTGGGTGTTTACTTATCATTCTTAAGTGCCATTGAGCTCGACAACGTAGTTTAGGGCCCTTGAGGTACTTCAATGTCCCTTTGTGAATCGTCGCTTTAATGTTTTATAGAGATTTAGTGAACACTTTGTTACCTTATGAAGGAAAATGGTATAGTGTTGGTTGGTTGTAAATTGAAATAATTCAATAAAATTATAGACGTAGATAGAGATAATGGCGTCGCCTGAGAAATGTGCAATGCCTGATTTTGTCATTATACTGCGACATATCAATAGCTGAGCGAGTTATACACTCACTATGTAGTATGTAATGTACTATGTAGGTAGACGAACAAACAAATAGAAGCATATGAATGGGCCCGCATGTCTTGTCGTTTAACGTATTCTAAAGCAGCCGTGAGTGTTGACTGTCGAAGCTCGCCTTATCGGCACCCTCGTCGGCCAGCGCGTCTAAATGGGAAAGCAAACAGTCAGATGGTTGTTGACACGACGCGATTCGGCCGCTTTATAAATATTTCGAACGCGAGCAGCGAGCAGCGGTCTGCCATTATCCCATTAGTAAAGGCACTCAGAACGTGAAGCTATTAGGCGGTGTTCACATCGCCGCGCGCCGAGCCTACACGACAACGAATCAGTTGCAGTTGGCTGCCTCGACGCTATTGATAACGAAAGCTTGCGTTCACATGGTTAAAGTAGGTACCTACGTACATACTTATTGCTATTGACCAGCAGCTCGTAGCTATTGGATTAGACAAAATCTTTGGAGGGGTTTGATTTATATTTAGATATCTGACAGACTTCATTTCTGCTATGATAATGTGCTTTATAATTCCTAATCAAGTTAGTAGATAAATATTTACTTAGGCAATATATTAATGATTAGGTAGGTATCTATTTAATGCATAGTTAGGGATTTAACCGATACAGGCTACGTAGTAACTACGTATATATACTGTTCTTAGTGGGTACCTACCTATTTTAGTTATAGTTAGCACGTCATGCCTGCTGTAAATTACTTCTCCAAAAGCAATCATCAAGCGTAGAATAAAAACACTTTATTAAACTTTCGACATAACAAAAGCGACTGTTTTAAAAACTTAGGTAATTGTTATAGTAAGCTTTCAAGCACGTGCTTTACAGGGAATATTAACAACGGATCGTATGAGATACCAATAAGCGCATTGTTCTGCGATTTGGTATATCGAGCACCACTAGTATAATCTTATTACACCGAGCACCGACCTAGTACCGTCAAAATGACGGGTGCACTTACTGTACCTATGTATACAGGTTAAATTGACTCGAGTTCAACCTGATCGTTAGTTTACTGGTTATAGCTAGTCTGTGGCTCGGTGTTGGCCGCGCCGCCGCATCCTCGCGCCGGCCGTCATGTTAGTAAGTTACATGGCCAGATTGCCATAACGCAATGAAAACATGTACCACTTACCTATACCTGCAGCGGTCTCCTCCACACCACAATAACAATCCACCGCTTTGTCTTTCAATATACGATCGATACGCACCGACCCTCAACACCGTAAAAGCAAAGCAAATTACTTTTAATCACCATTCAGCACATAAACGAACACGGCCGACCCGTTTCACAATAGTATTCGCTTCGGGTTTCACACAAACACGTACAGTACACAACACAGCTAGCGTCAAATCCAAAGAGCGATGTAGTTCAATCCATGGGCTATGTTATAAAATATAAACAAATAACACTGGTGATTTCACAGTGGAAACAAAATTGTCGTAAGAGCGTAACGCACGTCAGCGCCGCTAGGAGTCGGCGGACGACCGCGGAACTGGCTTCGAGCGAGCAGAGCTACGTGTCCCCCCTGTGAGGTGTGCGAGCGAGCGGGACGCACAATACAGGCGCGCTTGGGTGCGAAAGGGACGAAGCAGTTTATGAGGCGGGCGGCATAAAAATGTGAGAAGGGCGCGTACATACGAACAGAGTACGATCGGCCGGCGTCGCCACAGACTAGTGCTATCTTGGATTGATCCACCGAGTGAATAGATAATGATTGTTGTAGCGTTTGAGGCGGCATCACCACAGCCGCCCATTCATTACAATAATTATCTGACAATTAAACATTGCGACGGAGGTCGTTGCCGTTTAGTTCTGTTACTGTACATCATATAACTGCTAGATACGTTCGTTCGACCGAAGTATCTTACTACTTTTACTATTGTTTTATCTCATGTTTTTCTAGTATAGCAATAAATAGCATTATGATTGAAATTTACAGTTACTTGCAAGAGTAAATTTATTTCAAAACTAGTCATTCATACATCAATAAGGAATTTTAAGTTTATGGAGGCAGGTGTGAATAATGATATTAAAATGCAGTTGAACAATATTTACATTTATTATTGAATGACAATATCTTATCCTAACATTCTTAAATTTGTATCGCATTGAAGTCAACAATGTCGACATTCACATCAATATAATACAATTACACATTTAATACTACACCTTAATTATAAATAAATTAGAAGATCCTCCGAGTGTAGCAAGGAAAATTATAATAAGGGGCAGTATTGGTTGCAGGCGCGATTCAGACCCAATTGTATATGATTGTTTAAAATAAAATATTAATTGAATCTCTAAATTATTAAGCTAGCCTGCTATTGCCGAGGCATACATTCATATTCACATAGAACATTGGTTAGACTTGAACACTGAGACAGTATCAATTTCATTTAGTATGTGGCCAAAATATTCATTACAATAAATGAATAGCTCGCGCCAACAAGTAAATCTAAAGAATTCAAAGTCAATTATATAATCAAAGCTTTAACTACTAAAGAGAGAAGTTAACAAAACATTTGGTTAATAAGTATTTATAATACATTGTTGTTATAAGCTAGCTGGGAACTCTAAAATTTGGATCTAGTTTCATATAAATACATTTGTTTAGGTACAAATTACTAAAATTGTAGCTAACACAATCTAGCTGTATGTTGTTGTTGTTGACAAACAAGGACTTAGATTTGTAGATTTTTCTAATCTCAATTTGTAATATGTACTACAATATTACATCATTATCTAATAAAATGTATTGCTTTTCGTGTGGATTCACAAAATATAATTTAATTATTGAGGATTATAAAACTGATCAATAAATCATGAATCAGTAGACTAAGTAAAGAATGTTACGTTATTTTAATTATGTTAGCTTGTCGTTTCACGACTTAGTACAAAATTACGAAATACATACTCGCGCATTCAAATGTTCGAATCCTAAGGCCTTCTATTTAAAAATTTAATTATTTTACAACTGATCTCATTCACGCAGCATCACATTGTATTCATACTCGTACAATTCGTTAGAACCGTACATTATACTATTTTGTGAAATGATTTTATATTACAAATTTTGATAGGTACTCTTCATGACGCCGGACTTACAACTACGCTAAAGAGAATCTATTTGAATCGAGGTGCTTACAAATACAATATTTGATCTCGCTAGCTTATTCTGCAATACTCGAGGATTTCACAGACATATTTGGTGAACAAAATGCACATTAGACAAAATATTAATTTTGTGTTTTATTAGTTCAATGTCCACGTGAACTGGAGGTCCATGATGATGAAGAGTTTGAGCAGAAAGTCATGTGGAATGCGAGTTCCGCAGTGAGACGCTCGTGTCGGGCACTAGACGCAGGGAGTGTAGCGGGCTGCACGGTGCGCGCCGCGCTGGAAGATCTACTTTGGCAAGGAATGCAGGGACCGCACTACTGCGGCAGTAGCGGCACCTCGGGGTACGACGCCTCTTGATCTTCCTCTGAAGAATGGCCGCTAGTGTAGGAAGGGCGACCACTCTTCTCCCGCAGTCAGTATCTGGATGAATCAGAACATTATTATCCATTGCCCTGCACTGCACTTGCCTTATCATTTGGTAAGCCCTCCAAAGTAAAAAAAAATCACCATCCAAACTCTTTGTTTCATTACTAGAGAATGATTTCAAAACCACAATTTATAATAAAAAAACTTATGGAACTTAAGTATAGAGTAAATGCATGAGTTAGTTCTTACTTCCTATAATTATCATCTCTTTCAGAGTCAGCGTAAGGTGCCCAGTGCGCCGGCGTCGCCTCCGCGTCGTCACGCTCCGCATTCGTGCTCGAACCTGTATCATTATAACATTTATATTCTACGCAGAAGCAGTGATTTATGTTTAAAAATTAGAAAAAAATATTAACTACATAATTCATAATTTTTCCTAAGAAATCGCTTGGCCTATGCCTAAAAATGTATGAAAATGGACATAATTCATATTGAAGTTTATAGGGCTTCTGCCCAGGACTTCGTACGCGCAATCCTGTTTTCTCCCGTTCCCGTAAGATTTTCAGGACCTGTCTGTCATAAGAACCTTCTCCTGACAATAATAAAAACAAAAAAAAAAATCAGCCAAATAGGTCTAGCCGTTCTCAAGTTATGGCGTGACAACGGAAAACGGGTTTCATTTTTATATATACAGATGGCTTGTATATTGTGTAAAAAATAGCAAGATGCTACATTCATGATACTATGACACCTTTTATTTTATATAAGTTCATGTCATTTTCATGTCATCTGTACTTTTGAATTGATTTTTAGGGTAAGATCTGGCCAAGCCATAGTAAAGCTACACACATTATAATAATATGTATCATTTTTCTTACATATAAAAATACTATAAATAAGCTGGTTTTATTGTGATATAGGTTAGTTATTAGTGAGTATATAAGCATATATCATACATATTTCATAAATCCAACGATACTTTGAACTCTGGAGTCGAACCAGACTCTTTAGGGACCATAACATGATGGATAAGATATCATATTTACCAATATGATGTGTGGGAGCCGCTGAAGTGACGGGAGTGATAGAGAGGTGCGGGCCATCCGTCATGACGTCGTGAGGAACTGCGGCGGCCGGCAGCGGGGGGCAAACAAAGCATCTCAGTCAGTCACCGCGGAAACTCAAGCCAGGGCACATACACCAGGTTAGATAAAGTTAATTGTTTTAGTCACACCCCAAATTAATCATGTACTACTAATATCTCAGGTTTAACTGCGTCGAACATTTATAACGGCCTCATAAATTAATCGCAATTCATCACTAATTTCGGGTGTTTTCTTTTTACCTAGATGAAGCGACGCGGGCTCAGGTGGCGGTACCAAAGAGACGGATAACTGAGGCCGCTTCGTCAGCAGATCTGAAAGGGTGTGGGTAGCGACGGGCATAGTGATCGATTTCATGGTAAGGCTTTTAAAACCAGTTGTGGTGTATTTACAGTTTACCTGCTACATCGGTGTTAAACAGCAATCTTTGCGGTCATCAGTCTAGATTCTCAAGAGAACTTCAACTTACAACTGTATGGTAACTTGATGATGTTACGGAGGAACACAAAATTAAGTAGGTATTCTGGATTTAAGACAAAAAGTTACTGTCAACAGATCTAAGTTGAAGTATTTGAGGTATACCTGTATTTATTTACGACAGGCCGGCCAGCAGTCTCAGGAAAGGCAACAAAATATGTTTAACATGTGTTTACCTATATGGTGTTGTGAAGAGTTGCTGGTAGGGGGCGCCACCGGTGTGATGGACAGGTGTGGACGCTCCGGTAGGGCCTCCGTGTCGCGCGGGGACGATGGCGGGGACCCTGGCGCCGGCGGGGACGGACTGTCCAGTGATATCACACCACACGCACCGCCTGCCACGCCGGGTGATCGATACCCACTCGACGATACTGCTTCCGCTGCTGTGTAAATATTCATGAACATATCTCTGTTCTGCTACTGACACACTCGAAATAATGAATGTGATTTTAATACTCACCACTTGATGAATAGTTGTCGTCACTCTTAATATTGGCTTCGGAAACTGGTGGCGTGGCTTTCGGTGGTGGTATCTTTCGTTTGAGAGGCAGTTCATCATCAGAGTCTGATGTAAGGTCCACCATCACGTCTGCAGAGCGTGGTGCACGAGTTTCGCCTACGGCGGCACGTTTAGCAGCGCCTACACCGCTGTCCACAGGAATCACTTCTGTAGAATAGATTTAAATTAATTCTGTGTTGCTATCTAATCTAGTCGAAGATCATGATATTGTCTATTGCCGTTCCATTTATTTGTTGTAATGACTTATTTACATGAGACGATTTTTGGTAATACCAAAATATACCATATACTAGTTTATTAATGTTATCTTACCAACCTACCTACAAACAAAAATCATATTACATTAGTCCTATTTCTGATTGTATGATATTTTATATTTAGTGAATACTGACCGAGGTCGTCCGAGATGAGAGTGACGGGTTCGGCGGCGGGTTGCTGCAGTAGCGGCGCGCGCGGCGGCGGCGCGTGCGCCGACCAGCTGCCGTCGGCGTGCAGCTGGATCTCGTTGCACTCGCTCGACAGCCGCGGGGACGTCAGCACCTCTTGGAAGTACCTGCCGCACGATACCATGCTACTGCTCATTTCTGTTTCATCACCATATCAGCCACAAGGCTCCAGTGACCTTCAAATCGGTTGGTTGGAACTGACCAACAACCGGCAATTTCTGTCTACTACAGAAAGTGCTGTTATAAAGTGTAAAATGGGTGGTATACTGAAAATGTACAATGTTATCTTCTCTGAGCCAGTTTTTGTAATAAAATAACATATCTTTTCGTTACCTTGATTGCTAGAGTAGAATTCTGTATACAAAATCTAATTTATAAATAAGAATAGTTCTTTATCTTGTCTAAGAGTAATAGGAAACTATATACTTTGGAACAAGCACCTAGCTTTACTGACAATTTAATTTGACGTTTCAAAGGTGCGTAATTAGGATTAATTGAAATAAATACTTTGATTTTGATACAGAACTAGAAGCCCAAGAAACGCTTTGCTTCTCTTTTAGTTTCAAAATAATCCGTTTGAATAATACCTACACCAGTCGCTGGACTGGTGTAGGTATTATTCTTCTAACAAAATAAAGCACTTACCCGTCTACTACAAGAGAGTCGTAAGGCGCAGGTCGGTCACAGACTGGACACAGCCAGGTTGGCTTCCGTTCGTTCATCTGTAGGAACAGTGAGGCGTCGAAGCACTGCAGGTGCGGGCAGTTGGCGGGCCGGCACGGACACGCCATGCGCATCTTGCCCAGGGGACACATCAGCGACACTCGCAACGAAGTCGTCGCGATCTCACTGTCGTAGTCCTCCGACAACTTCTCTTTTACTGTACAAAAAGGGCATTGACTAAAATTGGTGCCTTTCTTTTTTCTGGCGGCAGTCGATGATTTATGGAAAATATTATCTAGAATGTCATTACAAACGAAATTGTCTATGGGTTCATATATGGAAATCTCAGTCTGGACTGAGTTATGAGCGTTGAAAGGAGCTGGAATAAAACATTTTACTTTCGTTTTTTTATTCAAATTATTCATATTTTTGTCACAATTCTAATTTCAAATTGCGCGCCACTGTACGCCGGGCACAGAAACACCAAATCACACCACAATATATCCATATTGCCAGTCGCTAATTTTTATTAGCTACTTTCTCTCAGTCGACAACTTGTAGAATGCTTCTAGGAGTTGTGCCAAGAAGCTTCATGAGTGTCAGCTGTGGTACCTTTGGTGGGTTGAGTAGTTGTTGCCGTCCAAACATCTAATAAAGTATTTTTTTTGCCGTTGACTCCTGGTGGGAGACTCATCTACTTTGTAGTTAGCATAATTTTTTGAAGAAAGCAAACCGTCGACTTTGTAAAGTGATGGACTATACGTCAGATGAGCGCATATTTTTTTCATATAATGTGATCATTCGAAATGCATCACTTTATATGAAACGATGTCTATGTACAGAATCTTATACTAGATGTAGATTAAAGTATTAATTGTAGTTAGATTAGGTACTAATCGGAAGTAAGTCGGGAGAAGTAGACAGAAAAATGTTTTTTTCGTGTTTTGACGACAGTTACTACTCAATCCGCTACCGACGCCGCAGCTGAAAGACATAGCATTTCATGATAGGGCTCAGTAAACTATTTTGCGGGTTTTTGACTGAGAGGAAATTGATAATGAAAATCTGTCATGGGCCATAAACCTTATATGTATACACATATAAATTGAAAACGCTAGCCACTCAAACGAAATGTTTTTTTTTCTTCGGCAGTGGTCAGTTAATGGTTCACTCCGTTATGATTCCGTGGCCTTATAACAAAAAAAATAATAAAAAAAAGAAATAACAAACAAAAAAAAAATATTATAAAAGTCCACAATAAGCTTTATTATATTCCTTAAAATCGTCTATAAACATTTATTACAAAATACGATCTGACAACTAAATGAAGAAATATGCGTTGTGTACGGTCACCATCAACAAAATCACAGGAATTATGTAGCACAATCTCACATCTTTGAACTGATTTAACTCGGTTTGGACTGTGTTTTTGATATAAGACCCCATATATTTTTTTGTTTGTAATGTTCTTCTGCATCAGTTTATCCACATCCGATCAACTGCCGCGAAAAAATGAAAAGGCACCACGCTCCATACAAATTTGGTCATTGTCATTTTGTTGTTTGGTATTCTTGTGTAACTAGCTTATAACCACTCTGACGTCCGTGGATAGTACGGTATCCAAGAAAAAAGTAGCGTCATACGCCCATGGATACTATAGTATCCAAAGCGACGAGTTGTGTTTAATGCCCTCTAGTTTAAAATACGGTCTTGCTTGGTGAGTTTTGACAGATTATCTATACAGTTGAATAAATAGTTCGACGAAAAAAATAGAGATGGCAGTGTAATAAGCTTTGACAAACAAAATATATTTTTTTAAGTTCAGTTGACTCGTTTGACGCGCGTGTTGTGAAGTGTTTTTGTGAGTGCCAACAATTATGTCGTAAGTACTACAGTTTTGTTTTATTTATCTTGCAAGTGTTATACATCAAAATAAACTAGAAGATTTGTGCTTTACGATGATGTATAAATATCACAGTTTTAGCTGATAAATCTAGTCTACTTTTAACTTCAAACGATTGTTGTTTCGAAAAAAATGGCCGGTCGTATGGTGTCGGCTACTTTTAGTTTTGTTTATACATATTTTACATACTTTGCATTACAATAGTATATAAAATATCGAAATACATTTCGTAATAAGCAAAATAATACATTTTTCAAAGAGAAATATACTAAATTCACTGAAGATTCCATAATAATGTCAATGTGTTCCTCAGGTTTTTTGATGTGGACTGTTTGGTATCCACGGACGTTACATGAAACGTGATAAATAAGGTTCGCTATACACGGCAAAATATGTTTGCATTATTTTTGTTTTGCTAGTGGTGGTATAATATTTTGCTTGAGATGATACTAATATTTAATAAAATGCACTTTTGGGTTTTGTACTAATATTCATCATTTATTTTTCGCTTGGTTTCCGTTGGATATGTATAATGTTCTAATGGTTTTTTTTTTGTTTTGAAACATTAATTACATGTTTGTTCGTGTTGATTAATTTCCGCTAAATGTAAAAAAATGCACTTGTGGATTTGACCTTTCTTTTTTACTGTTGCCCTTGCACGTGTTGCATGGTCGCATATATTTTAATGCTTCGCCAAATTTTATTTTATTCTTTTAACAATACTAATGTTTTAAATTATTCACAGCGACGTCAATCTCTGCATTGAAAATTGTTTTATGGCTTACCATATATAAATGTGTGGAAGGAATAAATTATTATATTATATATTGATTTTTTTATTTGCTTTTTATTTAAATAACCAACTAGAATAAACAACTTCAAAAATACAATTATTGCATAAAACTAATTCATAAAATTATTTAAAATATTTTATTAAAATTACATCGTGTGTGGGAAACCTTAGACGGGCGGCCATATTGCTATTATTTCGCCTTCTCGGACGAGTCAAGGGCGCTCGGGACATCGCGGTAAAATTACGAGGAGTAGTGTTTTGTTTTGATTTAATTAAAATACTTAGAGTTAACCGAATGTAATCGTATATACATCAGAAGAAAGGGTAATAAGTCTAGTTTGTTGTAAAAATATTTTATTGATAAAATATGCAATAGTTGTGCCTTATATTCTAAAAAGGTTGAAATAATTGTGTATTTTTTTTCTGAATGTACATTTTTAACCCGGTTTTTTGTATCAAAGATTATAACTTACGATTTAAAAAAATCGTTAAGATTGATCAGTATTCTTCAATCTTTTTTTTGGTATATTTTTCTTTATTCTAGCCATTACGGTTCAGTAGCTATATAGGTTTTTTGATACGACGAACTTGCGAGTCGCGCGCGGTTCGGACGCCGCGCGCAGCTGGACGTTAGAGAGATAAACGGTCGCGCGGCCCGGACGTTAGAGTGGATAAAAAGGTAATTAATTACGTGTATTAAGAGGTGAGTGTTGATTCACTAACCAATTCACTAACCCATACTAAATTTTAATGCACACTTTTCTTTAATTTATTAGTATTACTGGGATTTTATTTTATTTATCTAGGAATCCCTCTTTGCTGGACAAGAGTTTAGCGCCCTTAACAACATACAATCAACAAGTTATTCATTCTACTGTCAAAAATAATGAAACCTACTGCTTTCCCAACTTACAAAAGTAGTATTGCAGATCAACACAGTTTAAGAGAAACTTACTAAGTGACCTCGTGTAGTCAGGATTTTTGGTGCCTTTATTCTTGAGTCGCTGGAGCAGCTCGGCTGAAGTCAGTTTGCGCACCATGAACACGCTGAGCACGTAAGCTCGCGTGAAGTCCGCGGCCCACGTCACTTGTATAGTGTTCGCGACAGTGGGCGATAGCTTCACTAGAGAAGATATGTTCACAGGTCGCGGCGGCCGCTTTGGTTCTGGCGTGGGCTTATTTGTAGGTATTGGGTTCTGTAGGGCAGCAAATACGGAATTTAGTTATTGGTGATATGAACAGCTTGTGTGTGTTTAATAATATTCTTTAAGGCATTATCATTTAATACTGACGTTTGTGGGCCGTCAAAATTACCATTGTTGTGAGGGTTTTGCAATCGCTCTGTCGAATATATACCAACCAACCTTACCCCAACAACTTATGGGGTAAGGGTGTGATAACTGATCACATAAGATTTGTCACCATTATTATTATAGGTGGCTTCAAAATAAACCATGTGGTTACAACTTTAAGAAATCAATATATAATACCTTCATCTTCATCAAAAATATTGAAAACCTGCCGAAATCCTTTCACAGTCTGAAGGTTGCTCAAGTCAGGTTGAAGAACGTAATTTCGTGATTAATTATGAAAATATGTATGTTTTTATAAAATATCTTACAGTTTAGACATATTTCACTGGCATACTAGCATATTTATACTAGCATATAAGTCCACAAGACCCGCCTAAACTTCTCTAGCAAAATCTTTATCTTTTATCTTTAGCAAAATTCATTCAGCTGAGAGTGACACGCACACACACACATTCTTCCCATTTACAGTAGAAGCAAAACTTACAGGTAGTGGACACATTTTGTTGTTAACTTTAACATTAACGCTAGGCGGGAAATGGTCCTCTTGTTCGCACGAGGTTTCTAGAAGACAAAACCGAAGTTGTGCCTGTGGACAAACATCAGTAAAAATTAAAACAATGTTTGTGAAACATATAAATATAATTAATACAAATTATAAATGAAACATACATCCAAGTAGGTAATCTTTTCTATAAAATGTAGGTATAAAGAATATGTCATGATACCGAGATTATATTTATTTCATAAGAAACCTTATTTTTCCCTCACCTGTATGACATAATCAAGTTTGTTGCTAGTTCCGACGAGATCTTTCCCTGAAGCTATTTCCGTGGCTTGTTGAGGTGTGAGGTGGAACACGTAGGTACCTTCTTGCATGCGACCTGCTTGCATGGGCATCATTGTCGATGGCTTCATCAGTTCTGCTAGCACGTCGTAGAAGGGAAGTCTGGTGAAATGGAACCTTGTTAGTAGGTGGAAGTAAGTTCAGTTACGGTATTAAGTTTGTAAGGTAGTGTTTGCATAAACGTGACTATGTTAAGTACGATGTAAGAACTCCGTGCTTAGATTATAAAGTATTGTGCGGTGTGTCTTCTCATTTTAGAAGTCCGAGAGTTTAGTAACAGACTTCACCTAGACTCGTACGTAATGAAACAACCTGTACGTGGAATGAAAGTCCCAACACAAAGTTCGATTGTTTTACTTCTACTTAAATAAGGATAATTTCGAATTAGCATTAGTCATATTTCAAATTTCTAGTGTTGAGTAATGAATATGCAATTTGTTTTTATAAACGCTCAAGATAAGATAAAACATCGACCGATAATATTGAAAGGATCTACCAATATGGAGTGTACACCTGCTCATGGCGAGGATACTTACTTCCTAAACTTAACGTCTGGATGTACCGGGAAGGGCGCTAGTGGCGCGGTGGGCGACGGTGACGGCATCGGAGCGAGCGTGCCCGCCGCGCTAGCGCCGTACCCGTGGTACATGCTGCTAGGGTATATGGGATTCTGCCGTGCCTGCAACGTCCGCTAAACTCCGTATTGTGGGTCGACCATGAATATTTATTGTTTTAATATTTTAGAGTTGATCAAATTCAACCACTTAAGCAACAGTGGCTGGAGAAAGACTTACATTAATTATTGTACATTATTATTTAATAAGAAAAATCTGAATGATCGAAAAATTACAACACCGATCTGTTAAAAAAATGAAATTACCGTGACAGGCATGGCTTGCCCGCGTGAGTCTTGTGTGTTGTACCCGCTAACAGTGGGGTGTTGATAGAGGGAGCGGCCAGGCAGCGCGGGCGCCAGGGGGTCCTTCCCCTGCGACCCGCTGCCCGGCCCCACGCTCCCCGAGGGCAGCGCTTGATTGTTCCTAAAAAATTACAAAAACATGTAGGTACATCTTTCCCACCTTGCCAAACGCAGTTTAACAATCACAGGGACAAGTCAATCAGGATCGCAAATCATGCAACAAATGACTGCACATAGTGTCACTGCCATCAACTTGGATTGCTAACAAATCTCTGTTCATAACAAGAACCATCACCAAAGCACCGAGACTCATGCTTCGACTGCCTCCGGCTGTCCACAAGTATTGATTGCAGTAGCAAACAGAAACGACAAAGGTGACTGTTGGACAGAAGTGGGATATCATGCTAGCAGCTATGTTTGAGGCAAACGCGACAAGAACTGAAACTTGCCTAATTTGATTGTAGGGCCTTTGGGAGCGGTGACCGTTCTCAGTGGTTTTGAGCCGCGATCTAAGTTCGGAAGAAGTTCCATTTTCGGCGGGCGCACTGGTGGCCGCGCTTCCTACCCTCGCTGAAGATCGTGTTTTAACCATTGTTGACGAACGACCATCTCATGTCAACTGAAATGTATGAGTCCAAAAATGGACAAACTATCATCAATTATCCACATAAAACTGAAGAGATTTCTGGAAAATTTCTTCATGTAGTGAATGAAAGGCACCACGCGGACTTTACCTTATTTCTCTTACGTAACAGACTGGAAACTTACAGGGAAAGGGGCAAGAACTACTGAACATCTGCAATTGAATAATTATCCATTTTAGTCATCAATGGTTAAAACATGTCTTACAGCTTTAATTTAATAACTATAGATAAACCATAAAAGTACTTAAACTAACAAATTTTAAAGCAATTGTTGGTGATCCTTTAGTTAATAATTTGAGATATTATTCCACTGCAGCTGTGAACGAGCATCGCTAAGGAGAGAAAAGTACATTAAAACTTTGTTAACATGAAACCCATAGATCGGGGGGAGACAGGAGCTGATCGGTAAGAGAAATAAGTGGTGTCCCGTTTATGAAATTTTCCAGAACATTGATAATAGATATATTTATTAATATAATATTAAAATGTACAGAGAAAACAGGACCACTCCAAATTGTATCATAATCTAATGAATTAGACAATATTTTAGCTGTCTCAGTACTAGCTATGGACTAGAGCAGTTGCTTTACTATTACAACTAAAGATACATAGGTGTAGACCACTATTATCTACTTAAATACCATGATAAAGATTGTTAGTTACTTTTTTAGGTAAAAATAAAACAATACTGTTGAAATAAGCTATTATTTACTACTTCTATGGCTGATAAGTATTTCTATAATTATAGTTTCCACTCTGATAGAACTTTTGTATAATTTATTTGGTTTGTAGATAAAATGTTGTTTGTCAACAAGTCATAGTAAAAACAATATGATTGAATTATTTGAATTAAAAATTAGAACTTTTAACATATTGTTTAAACAATTTGTAGTGTCGTATATCGGGGTACCGGGATTCTCAGAGCGTTCCCATAAAAATCAATAATTACTTACGCACTTGATTCAAAAAACAATGCAACATTTGTAGCATACCTATTAATTTAAAATAAATTACGTATGAAATATCCTTAAAATTATATGCAGAGGCTTAGAGGCGCTCTGTGGACTCGGGCTAGTTCAGCAACATTTTATATCGAAAACCACGTTAAAACGTAGGTTGGAAACTCAGTTGAATTTAAAAATCCCGGTAATAGTCTGGGAAGTATGATAAGACTATAAGCATTTGTTATTAATTAACGATACTATTTATTGGAATAGTTAGCTATGTTATTAAATAATGACAAATAAATATTCCAAAGAAAACGTACACAAATTTTCAAACAATATGGTTGTCACCACTCCAAATCAAACTTTACTCACCATGATATCGCGTTACCGTAATCGTAATATCTGCTCATATTAATTCTAATTTATAAAAGTTACACTAATTACAAATTAAAATTATTTACGTGTTTTTCACAAAACGCCATCACTTGACGCTTACAACTATACGGCCGCCACGTTGACCATAGACTAAATTTATATTTTTCCTTTGATATGTATCTAGCCTTATACTATTATTTACATTTTAATTACTTATCTAATTGTTAAAATTACTTATTTTAGGAGCCTATCTCTATTTTTTCATTGATTTAATGTTGGAGATTTAAATGAATAAAAAAAATTGCTAAAATATGCTCATTCTATTCAGATGCACGTCGAAAAAATACTGAGTTATTGTAAAGCTGTGTCTACACAAGTAACTCTATTAGCATGTGATACGCGATATCCTTTTCCTAGTTTTGCATGCTGGGCAACATTTCGTTCGGATATTTATTTTGAGAAATTTTTGAAAACGAAATTATCAAATCTAATGCAAAAATTCCAAAAATAAATATGTTAAACAGTTATTACAGAAATATTCGTAAAGTCATAAACAAACTATCATATTACGACAACTTTTAATTATGTTATATGCTTTTGATTTGCCTTCTTTTGAACAAATCACAAAATTATTGAATCGATGATCGCTCTTTTTGCTTATTATATTAAATATTTTGTTACAAAAGCTATGAAACTAATAGAAACGTAATAACTTGTTCATTTTATATTATAAATAAAGTTTTTACAGTGTTATAAGTGTGACTTGAATATAATCTGATGTTATTGTTTGTTAATTTAAGAATGACGACGAATGTTTGAGGAACTAACAACATTAAAACTATGGAGGGGGGCTTAACTGATTGTATTTCGAGTACAAAGTGATTTTCAGTAGAACAAGAAGCTGAACTTTTATCAAATTACGATTATGTTTGCGCTCGAACAGTGGCTATGACGGGTAGGAATCGTATTCCTGTTTTGAATTTTCATTAATAAATAGACAAACTGTACTTTATTCGGTCTGCTATACTTCACATCATGACCTTTATGAAGAATTTGAGAACTGAAATATTAATCAAAACTTTAATTAGACCGGCAATCGACACTTCCACGGAATGGATCAATTAATACAACATTTTTGAAGTTAGTATTCTGTTAATTAATTGATGTATCCAAACGCAAATTGTTCTGAAACTTGTTAATTTTTATTGGTTCCATAAGAATAGTTTTGATTTATCGATCAATATATTGTTGTAAGCAGTAATATTATGACTTATATAAAAAAATAATACACGGTACTCTTTTTTTTATCGGTAACGAGTATTTTTATAAATATATTGCATTTTTTGACGAATGTAGTTTCAATGTTTGTAAACGGTTTTAGTTTCGGAACGTGTCTTAAGTGGAAGCTTCCTGGAAACGGAAATGTATATTTTTTTTACTGTTCTATTTCCTAATATTCGCAGTTGTTCTGATTGTTGTCGATGTAATCTATCGATGGTTTATAAATAAATTAATAATGTATAGGCTTATTAAATCGATACTTTTAATTGCTATTAAATTCATCGGTGGAAGTTGATGTCTTTTGGTTGTGGCTGATATGATGATGATGCTTCTTTATTAAATAAATACAACATAGGTACCTACTCAATTTATTTAAAAAATTTAATAGTAATACAAAATAAATACATTTGTAAAAATCAATACATTTTAGTTACAAGATTTATTAATGCATTCCAAATCTGCAATTAGTAGAACTTTTATATGTGAGATAAAAATCATTTTACACACGTCTTATCCAAGAACTTATAATATTAAAAAATATTACGAAATAAAGATTACGAGTGTATAATAGACACTTTAGATGTATATTTCGCAATTACTCCATAATCTAGTTGCAAGTGTGTGTATTCTGTGTGCACCACATTGACCACAATGGAGACGCCGGTATACCACGTTGGACTAATCGAGTTCGGTGCACATCAAGACGTGCATGTACCGGCCTAGTGGCTCCCTCGGGCCGGTCCGTCCACAGGCGCTCGGCTAGAGCGGCGGCCCGGGGCCACGCGTGAGCTACCAAGCTGCCTTCACCTACCTCTGTCGACCAAACTGTAGCCTCTCCGCCTTCTATCACGCCCGTACCATGCTTTAACCACGGACGATGCTCATATACCCGTTGCCATGAATTGTACGGGGCTCCATTGTTTTCTTCGTACCACGCTCCTTGTCCGGCGTTCAAGTCCCAGGCATCTTCATGAGACATAATTGTTCGGATGCCGGTTACATATGTTTGCGCCCATGCAGCGTGACGAACTTGAAAACCTATATTATCAATATACCTTCTTATATCAGATTTAAATCTTTCACTAAGGCTTGACATCCAAAAAATGGTTAATTTTGGTATTCTACCAGTTCGTCGTTCTAAGCGTTTTAGAAGCGATTGTGTAAAATGAATCCAGAGGTCCATGGAGTCATTGAAAGTGTGACGAAACTGATCGTTCCAACAACGCAAAGATATGTCGCTGCCACCCAGATGAACCATGTCTTCGACTCCGGTCAGTTGCATCACGTCTATAAATAGACGTTCGAAAAGGTCGTATACTCGTTCATTGACTGGATTCAGCTGTCCACAGGGCGGTTCACTGCAATAGTCACTCCAATGTTCGAGGTCAAGGCAAAACACTAAGTCACCCAGATCCGCGACCGGGCCCCAGCTCCAGGCGTGGCCGACATGGGCCGGTGCATCTATTTCTAATAACACACGGATCCCGCGTAGCCTGGCCCTCCGCACAACTGTTCGCACGTCGTCCGGACTGTAAACGTCACCAGGAGTATGCGCGCCATAATTAGATAATTCGGGGATACTGTTCGTTTGCAGCGGAAAAGCTTGTGAATCGGTAATGTGCCAGTGAAACGTGTTCAATTTGGAAGCGGCCATTGCATCTATATTCAACATTAGCTCAGTTATAGGAAAGAAATTGTGCGCCGTATCTACAAGCAATCCACGATATGGAAATTTGGGGGCATCGTCTATTCTTGCTGCTTCTAGTATCAAAAGAGATCCCAAATACGAGTCCAACCAGACCAGTTGCAGGAGTGTCTCCAGCCCATGTCTAGCGCCACAGAACGAATGAGCGGCTATATCTGCTATTAATGCGACGGCAGTTCCTTCAACAGGTCGTAATGAAAGGCTGTAACTTTCGTCAGTCTCTAATGTCATTCGAGGGTCATCACTGCCGTTGACCAGTAATCTTACTGATACACTACGCCACTCTTCGAAACCTCGTGAACCATGTTCTATTCGTTGCAAGTCTTCGCGGAAATGAGCAAAAGCTTCTTGAAGGTGCTCATGTACTATTTTCGTGGGAGCCTGGATCATTTGTAGTTGGAACATGTCAGAGCGAGCAGGTACTGCGGTGGTAGACAGACTGACTGATCCCGTTGGCTGTGGCCAAATCTGTATTGATGAGCATAGCATGTTGCAGGTTTCCAAAGACTGTAGTTTTGATACGTGTGTTGCTTTTAATGGCAAACATTTGTCGTTTATGCATTCCCAGTTCCACAGAGGTAAGGCGTTCCTGAAGAAGAGACCGTAGGGTTTTTACTTCTTAGAAGTAAACAACACAAAACGTTATTAAACAACATTATTTTGGAAGCTGCTTACCTGGTATTATAAGATGTTTGGCAAATGTACGTTTTAAATGCTAGCAGCCATAAGAAAAGTATAATGTTATCGGGTAAAACTTGGATCGTCAGCCACATCACTTATACAATTTTCCAATATAAATTTATAAAATACTTCAGCATATTCCAATACTTCCCCCCTTTACAGTTTGGACTTGAAGTTTGACATTTTAATAATCAAACATCATAAATAACAGGGACGTTGAAAAAAAAATATTATCATTGATCTGGTAATAGGTTGTTGTTGTTACGCACTTTTTTTTGAAAATTGGTAATCAATATTGAATCAATATTGAATCTATGTTGGATGACATAACGTTCCGCCTAGCTGTATGCTTACATTATGTTTCTCCGCATTATTGCCACTGTGGAGAAAGAGTCGATGGCTTGGGACACCATGGTCTTTCTTGTTGCAGGAGTGCAGGCCGCATAGCTCGCCATGCCAGCATCAACGACATCATTCGTCGTGCTCTTGCCTCAGCCGGTGTACCAGCTGTATTAGAACCTACGTGATGACGGCAAGAGACCAGATGGCATGTTGTTGCTGCCTTGGCTTGGAAAATCGGTAAGCCTTCGGTGTGGGACGCGACATGTGTAGACACCCTTGCGCCATCACATCTTCTAAGTACCGCTGCATGCGATGGTGCGGCCGCTTCCGCGGCGGAGGTCCTCAAACGGCGTAAATATTCAAATCTAGTGGGTAACTACTATTTTAAGCCGTTTGGGGTCGAAACACTTGGGCCATGGGATCCCAGTGCACACTCTGTCTATAAAGATATCGCCCCTAAGCTAATCGACTCTACACGTGACCAGAGGGCTGGCTATTTCTTCGGACAGAAAATAAGCATTGCCATCCAACGTGGCAATCCAGCACCTTAACGCCATGCTGTTTTGACTTGAGGCGTCACAACCCCTATACTTATTAAATATAGGTACTCTTTGGACCATGCCTTGATTTTGTTAGTGACCATAGATTTTTATAGAAATTTTCCATGAAGGTATCTTCATGAAATCTTTGCATGATAACCGCACCACCTGACCTACGATCTTTGGACAGTCAGATCAAAGAGTATAATAAGTATAGGGGAGTCAAATTCACCTCGCAGCGTCTTACAGCTTATAATCATTAAGGAGTAATTACGCCTCACCTCAAGAGCTAAACCGTAACATGCTTTACAAAAAGTTAATGGGGTACAAAGAAGGGTATAATGTAATACCCACTTTTCACTATTTATGTTATGAGTCCCATGTGTGGGTGTGCCTATTGCCGTATACCGGGCACAATTCCAGAATTCGTGCTACTACTGAGAATTTTTATAAAGCCCAGTAATACTTAGCCCGACCCGGGAATCGAACCCAAGACTCCTTGCCCAGCACCCGCACTTACGACTACTCGGCCAACGAGGCAGTTGAAATTAAAAATAAATAATTAATTAAAACAAACAGTAGAGCTTGCCACTTTAATTCTCAGTCAAACCACAGCACCAATAGTAACTACACCAGGAAAACATTAGTAAAACCCGTAGTTATTTGGCGAATATTTTGAAAGCAACCGTATACGTATTAAATAAAGGCTGAAAAATGCACCAAAACTCAATGACGTAAAACCAAGAAGCAATATAAACAGGTCTTTGTAAAGATGAAAGTTGTTCCGACCGTAGTAGTTAGGATATCTGAAATGAAAAGATGTATTGTATAATGAAAATAGAAAAAGTCAAATAGAGTAGGAGTCTGGGGCAACTGTGCTAATTCATCTTCATCATCTATATATCTACATATATATATATAAATAAAATCAATTTCTGTTTGTTAGTCTCGCGGTTGAACCGATTTGACTAATTTTGGTCTTGAAATGTAACGGTTGAACCGATTTGACTAATTTTGGTCTTGAAATGTAACGGTTGAACCGATTTGACTAATTTTGGTCTTGAAATGTAACGGTTGAACCGATTTGACTAATTTTGGTCTTGAAATGTTCGTGGAAGTCCAGGGAAGGTTTATAAGGTAAGAAAAATATTTGTAGGAGGTAAGAAGTTTGTCGGCTCAGCTAGTTACCGTAGACCTGGTTTTAATCGCAAGCAAGTATGTATCAGTTTGCAATCAGCTTAACTATCGTGCCTGAGAATCAATGTCTGAGCAGACAGGATGTGTATCCGTAGACGTGCACGTAGACCCGGCCACACATCGGGGTAATCGAAACCAGTTTATCATTGTCTCGCAATGTACAATATTTGGGCACATCCTTCCTGCCTAGGGCCGGGATATGAGTGTACGTCAGGGACGATATCAGCTTTCGTCGCCATCTCACCTGTCTATCTTATGGCTGCGTGGAGATAACGACGACCACCCTCGTGTCTATGCGTGTCTATATAGGTCCCACAGCGGTGATAGTGAGGTCAGAGGTCTTCACTGTTGGACCTTCTGCTGACCTCTCACCCGGACAGCTACAGCGTATCCATTGATGCACAAGGATTGCATTGTTCGAAGGTCTGTTTCTTAAACGGGCTCACCGCGACTACAAGAGGCACGCGGTCGTCGTGTATGGCACTATAAGTCGGCAGACTGAAATGAGATGCGATGCGGTCCTTTTTTGCATCCTACCCTTGGAGGTGGGTTTGCTTCTTGCAGGATGATCCCAACACCGCTGCCGATTCTGTTGCTGATGTGGTGCTGCAGGGGATGGAGCTTTTCGTCCGAACTTCTCTGGTCCCCGTTGGTGGCAGAAATCGGCTCTGGTTTGGTGCTTCTACCAGAACGGCCTCACGCAGAAAGCGGGGGGCAAACCAAGCCCGTTGGTTGCACTAAAATAAGAGTATAACTTTGCCTCCAAATCCTTCAATTCAAAAGAGCTATTGCAGGGGCCAAGTCGCAGCACCTTGGTAGAATTGGTGAGAGGCTTGAGCGCCTTCCATCAGGAACTCGTGCATTCTGGTCGCTCGTCAAAGCTATCGAGGGCAATTTCTGCAGGCCGTTATTTCCACCTCTACTCATGGGTGGGGATTCGTTGGTCATGACGCAAGAAATAAAGCTCAATTTTTAGGGAAATTCTTTGCGTCCGATTCGGCACTGAATGACGGTGCGGAAGGTATATGCCGTATATGCGGTTCCACCAGCGCACAGTACGTTTAGCGCTCTTGTCCCTTGACGTCCATAAGTCGAGTGGGCCTGATGGGATCCAACCCATTGTTTTAAAGATGTGTGCTCCTGAGTTGGCTCCAGTTCTAACACCTCTTTTTCGGATCTCTTACTCTTCAGGCGTAGTACCGACATCATGGAAGATGGCTTTAATCCAATCGATGCCTACAAAGTCATCGACCTAAACCATCCAACTACAGACCGGTAGCCATAACTTCCCTCTTCTTGAAAATAATGGAGTCTATTATTAACTGCCGGCTCCTCCGTTACTTAGAGGATCATCAGCTGCTCAGTGACCATCAATACGGCTTTCGTAAAGGTCGGTCCGTTGGTGATCTTCTAATTTAGTTTAGTCCGGACCTAACGCCCTGGGGCTCCTCTGGTGTTGCAGGTGTCCATGGGCGACGCTGATCGCTTACCATCAGGTGATCCGTCAGCTCGTTTGCCTCCTATTCCATAAAGAAAAAAACATTCAACGATCAGTTAAATACTGGACATGTGTGTACCACGTACTTGTAATAATTCGATTTTTACCTGATGCATATGTCCATGAGAGCGGGACATATGAGCGCCAATACAGATGTGCAGAAATTCCCCACAAATGCCACAAACGGCGCTTGAAACGGTATGATGTAACAAATAATAACTGAAACGATTGAAATGTTCATACAATATCCATTATATATTATGTACATACCTACATAGTTCTAGGCTAAGTTATTTTTTTCGCGGTAGTTGATCGGATGTAGAAAAACTGTTGCAGAATAACATTACAAACAAAAAAAATATGGCGCCTTATATGTATAATTATAAACACAAAACAAAAACTCAAGATGTGAAAATAGTGCTATATTATTCCTCTTATTTTTGTTGATGGTGACCGTAGACAGCGGTTATTTCTTCATTTACTTGTCAGAATTATTTTGTAACAAATATTTATAAACGATTTCAAAGAATAAAATAAAGCTTATTGTGACCTTTTTTACTTTTTTTTTATTACGACCACTGAATCAGAATAGAGTATATTTAAACAAATATACCAATAACTGGCCACTGCTCAAGAAAAAAAACATTTCTCTTGATTGACTAGCGTCTTCGATTTATGTGTATATGGTTATGGCTTATAAAAAGATTTTCATGACCAATTTCCTCTCAGTCGAAAACCCACAAAATACTTCACTGAGCCCTATCATGAAATGCTATGTTGTCAACTGCGGCGTCGGTGGCGGATTGAGTAGCGGCAGACGTCAAAATACGTAAAAAAAATCTGTCGACTGCTCCCGAATTACTCCCAATTAGTAACTTATCTAACTACAGTTAATGCTCTAATCTACAGCTAGCATAACATCCTGTAACAAGATATTGTCATTCAGTCACAAAGTGATGGATAATATTTCGACTGATCACACAAATATGAATAATTTTGCGCTCATCTGACGTATAGTCCATCACTTCACGAAGTCGACGGTTACCTTTCTTTAAAAGATTATGCTAACTATAAAGTAGATTAGTTTTTGAATAGAAAAAAACGATTCGAAAATTAGTACCAACTTTGTAATATGTTTGGGCGGCTGCCACGACTCAACTTACCACTGGTGCCGCAGCTGACGCTCACGAAGCTTCACGACACAACTCCTTGACGCATCTCACAAGTTATCGACTGAGAGAAAATAGGCCATAAAAAATAATGCTTAACTTACCATCCATATGGTGGTGTAGTATGGTATACCAGGCGTACAGTGGCGCGCCATTTAACGTCAGGAATTGTGAGAAAAATATGAATAATTCGATTTAAAAATAAAATATTCCATATATAGTTATGAGCCCATTAACAATTTCGTTTATAATGTCATTCTAGATAATATTTTACCTACATTAACGACTGCCGCCAGAAAAAAGAAAGGCACCAAATTTAGGCAATGCCATTTAGAGGTTTGTTGACGGGAGAAGGAGAATTAAGGGACTGGTATCTTCTGAAATGGAGGTTGGATAGTGTCGAGGTACCAATATACATCCGCTGTATAGTTCCTATTAATAGTTACATTACATCTTGTAGCTTATAGTCTTCTTAGTTCCTTGATAAATTAACTATTCTTCAACAAGCGTATAAATGTATAACTTACAAGATGTAACAACGAACAATGGTCTAGCGACAGTGTCAATCATGCGCAGTGTGATGTCCGATGGAGTAGTCAACTGGTCGTGGTACTTTATCACTTCGATAATGGTCAGAATGGCGGGTTGGCATTGTAGTGGAAACGCGGAAGCGACAGCAACCATGTAAAAGCCAATTGCAGCCATCGAAGATCTACAAAATATTATTTCATTAACTAACTGTTATTATCAAGACATTTGTCAATGTTGTTCGAGTACCGGACATCATCTAGCTAACGATGATCAAAACTTTTTTTAAGTATCTCAATCTTTGCAAACACCTTTTTTATGTCGATCAAAATCTTAACTACTTAATGACTACACAAAAAATGTTAGAGGAGAAACTGCACAATAAATTATTATGTTTTCGGCTTACTCACGTAATAATTTGACGAGGAACTCGACTAGTTTCAAGCCATGCTAGAGGCTCATATTCATGAGCAGCATTTCGCGACCCGCGACGCGGCGACTGTGGCGCTGCTACTCCTCATGATGTGAATATGAGCCTCTAGCATGGCTTGAAACTAATCGAGTTCCTCGTCAAGTTATTACGTTAGTAAGCCGAAAACATAATAATTTATTTAGTATGTCTCACGAAAGTTACAATACAAAGAGAAACTGCACGTAAAGAATTTTTGTTTTATTAGCTGTAAAATGTTAAACAACTCGATTAGGTAACTAAAACATTAAAATGAATTTTTTTTCGATAGTCCGCAGTCACGACCTTTTTCTTTTACCTACTTTACAGAAATACAGATCTATATTTCATTGATAAAATCATCACATCACATCTATATCTAATTTATTTGAAATTCACTGCATGACTCAATGTAGTCCATCTTATGGGCAGTCGGCTACTTGCAGTACTATAAGTTACTATTCCAAAAATGTTTGATGCCAATACCATGTGTCGAAGATCACTCACGTTTCGTCATAAGGAAGGGATCGCAGTATATTTTCATCCATGGTACCGAAGGTCACGTACCCCAGGGTGCCGAAAAACACCGAGAACATGGTCGGCCCAAGAATACCGACGTTCAGTACTCCGAACCTGCTCGTTATTCTTTTCGCTTGCTTCAGACTTTTGTCTATGGACAGGGTCTACAGGCAGGTAAAATGTATTATAAAATAATGTGACATTACACCTTAAAAAGGCTGTCCCAAAAATCAAGCAAAGAGTAATTTCGATAGAAAAAGTAGGCTTAGCATACTACATTGTACAGTGGCAATAAGTGTCGTAATGTGCACTTCTGCCTACCCTTCGGGGATAAAAGGCGTGATGTTATGTTATGTTAATTAGGCATCTATAAAAGACAGATATAAGATATATAAACTTACTCACCACTCCAATTGCACTCAAATTGAATAACAATGAACCAAAACAAAACATTACAGATCCCAGGTTCGTATGCGTCACCACCTCTTTATCTTCCCCGTCATAATCTGTCACTATATGCTCAAACACGATTATAATTCCCATCAAATTCAGGAAATTACCTGCAAATGATATATGAAAACAATAATTGAGATCTTATATCACATCAACAGCCTGTGAGTGACCATTGCTGAGTCCCTCTTCTCACACGAAGAAGGCTTGAGCATTGATCACCACGCTTGCTCAAAACGGATTGGCGACTTTAAACTTAGAGGTATAGTTAGAAGTTATAAGCCCAGTTAGGCTATTGTGTTAGCAGTCAATTCGAACACTCTGGTTACTTCACGCTGTTCATATTAAGATCTATGAGAACAATAATAAGTAAGCAAAATATCTATATATGTCGCAGTATTTAGTTGAATCAGCTTTAGTTTATTAAATAACTTTAGTTTATTTTATGGAATGACAAAGGGACTTGACATCAGTCCATTAGTGAAATCACTGCGATGTAGCGTAATTTGTAACAATTGGTTAGGGTTTGGGGTTTTTTTAAGGGGGGAAAATCATCGAATGCCTGCTCCCGCCTGGGTGAGGCTGGAGGGGGAGTGTCAGACTTTTACTGACTAAAAACCAACCCGTCCTTCTCCTGCACGTCGAGCCGCAGCCCCGGTAACCCGTTAGGTTCTCCGCAACTCCGAATCGGCATCAACCCTGTTGGGCCCCATCCGTGGTGGTCTGATGGCTCTTTGAAGCGCGCGCGGAACGCGACGCGCCGTACGCTCGGGTCTGGTTCTTGTCGGGCGGCGAGCTCAATGAGTTTGGGGTAGTTCTCCCTTTCCCCTAATACCACGCCCAAGACAAAGTAAGCACTTACCGTTTTTAAAGAAAAACAAGATTTCAAAACACTTAAAACTAACTGAAATATTCAGGAATCGGACCCGGGTCAATAAATGACCTAGACAGCTGGTTTCACAGTTACTGCACGATGTTGCACAGTTGCTCGTTTTTGCCCCCGGGTTCGTTCACAGACGAGCAGTCTAAATATAAATAAACGAATTTAACTCACCCAGCATGGCCACGTAACTGACAATAGACAAGTCCACCATAAAGAATTCTAATAAAAAATATGGGAACAGGAGGCACATGAGGGACGGCTGACTGCTCTGCCAGTCCATTATCTACAAAGAAAATGAATCTAGGTATAGATGCATGGGTTTGTACGGTAAAAGGTCAAAAGAACGAGACTACTATCGGTTGCGCTGCAGCGCTTATACACACATGCACACGCATATTTTTATCCGTGTTTACTTATGCACTGCCGTGTGAACATCACTCACGGTGGCAGTGGACTTTTGACCTTTGACTGTACAAGTCGTCGTGTCCGTATCTCATTTGAAGGTAGGCAGTGATAATCTCTCGCGCTAGAATTTACACCTATACCCAATTTCATCACGATTACTGAAGCCGTTTTGACGTGAAGGTGGAACAAACAAACAAACATATAAACATTCGCATTTATAATATTAGTAGATTAAGATGCACATATTCAGTTATTATAATATTGGTACAAAATCAGTCGCGTAATAATGATACGACCACTTACATCTCTCAAACAATCGCTGGTGAATATAACGAATACTGAACAAGTGCCAAGTTGACTGACAACCATAAATACGGCTATTATTGTCCTGTAAAAAAAAGGTAATTATTCTAGCAATATCGATGATTATTTTGCGTTTCCTAGCACTTTCAGAAGACAATAAATGTATGAAAATGAAGAATCTTCTAATTGGTATAACTTCTTCATCTTGGATCCCACAACTTTGACGCCACATTAACTATTGCTTCAAATGGCTATTTCTAACGATACATACCATTTTTTTTCGTAGGCTTTCGTTGGCTTTTTCATTGGTTTTCAGAAAAAAATATAATATTTGACAATTAGTATTATATACTCACGGACCGTGTCTGCCCAAGAAGTGGAATGCAGGAGGTCCATGAAGGAGAGCTACACGGAAGCCATATCGATACGATACGTATGGTATCTGCAGCTGCTTTGCTATCTCGTTCAGGCATCCTAACTGCACAAGCGAACAATAGTCAAATTGTTTTCTTTAGAATTCACTAGATGGCATCAATGGGGTTTAGTCCTGTTAGACATCATTATTACCATCAACCGCAGGTGACAGTCCACAACTGGACTTTGGGCGTCCTCTGATGAAGGCGAATGTTCTCTAATGTGAATATTTACTTCATGATGGCGAATCTTTCTTGTCTCATAAGACCAAAATCTCTCTTGGCCTTAGGAGCCAAGATTCGCCATTATCGGGTTATAGACTTCTTATTTCTTCTTACCTGCTGTTTCTAAAATATAAATTTAAATCTTGGGCTAAAAGGCTAGCAGTATAATTATAATTACGAATTACTCAGCCAAAAGAGCGTCAAGAGCCAAAGTAGTATTGTAGGTCAGTTGTAAAAAATATAAATCAGGTGTTATTTACCAGTAAATGATGTCCATAATTGATCAGAAGTCCGGTGAGTATTGTGAGGATCGGCCCCACGATAATTCCAGCTTTACTGATTATAAGCGGCATGCCCAGCATCCCGGCAGCAAACATCGTCCGCAACAGGTTGAAATACGCCATCCACAGCCTGACATCACAATAATAAAATATGTTTCTTTAGTTTTAACAATACCCGATTAGCATTCACCTTCATAACTATGGTTTCCAGGCAAAAACTTTTTTAATTTTGTTAAATTGGTCGATTTTCGTAATATTATATTTGGAAGACTGGAGTCAAGTAATTTGGTTGTGTTTAACCTTCATGCGGCTATGCTAAGGAGCACGATTAGCCAGACTTCGGTCCCGTTCGTCACTTGAACATCTGTGACCTATAGTTAACGTAGTGGTTAATGAAATTCTATCATGATATGGGGGATTAACTATTATGGGTTCAACTAAATAATGTGGTATCAACTTAAGGGAGTTGTATAGGGTTGTATGATGTTGCTTTATGTAAAACACTTGCTAAATATAATCCACACACTTGATACCTGTCTAGCAGTTAAGAGATCGCAGTTAGTATAGAGAAAATTTAAAGAATTTTGCCGCCATACCCTCGGTGGGTTGTGGTGGTTGCGTTCTAAACATCAACAGATTGTGACACTCCTATACTGGCCTACAAGCCTCCTCTACATACGAGGGATTTACCATAATCTCACTTGTGAGGTTGGTTGCAGATTGTACTTTAACTCGTCGAGTACCGGTTTTATAGACACAATTAAAGAACAATAGGTTGCGGTCACCGGTGACCGCTTGGTGTTTGACAGTTTAAAAGGTTCAGGTTTACTAAGGCACTGCTACCCGGCCTCTGTTAAATATGTAGCCCCTTTGTAGGCTCTTACAACACGGTGAAGAACACAGAAGAGTGTATTTTCTTCCTATTAGGTGACATGTTTGCATACTTAATATTATGTGTGGGTGATCTATGGTCTCTGGGGTTGTAGTCATTTTCCTCCGGCCTCAGTGAAGGTAACCTCGTCTTCCTGATGTCAATAGTTTGGTTCGTTCGGTGTGCTTGGAACATAAGCCTACTGACTTCCTCAACGGCTGCCCTGAAATATGCATATATATAATAAGTTTAGGTATCAAAAGATTAATTCGATTTTGTGAACCATTTGCAAAAAAAACTAAACACATCACACACAGGTTCTAATTCGATAGATTTCTGCCTTAACTCAATACATTTTTTAAGGGGGAAAATCATCGAATTACTTCTCCCATCTTGGTGAGGCGGGAGGGAGTATCAGACTCATACTGACTAAAAACCACCCCGTTCCTATGCCTGCCCTTCCAGCCGGAGCCCCGGTAACCCGTTAAATCTTTTTGGGGATTAGGAGTTGGAGGATCGTTGGGGATTCAGGAATTGGGGAGATTGGGGAAGGGGAGGGTAATTGGGCCTCCGGTAACTCACTCACACGACGAAACACAACGCAAGCGTTTCTTCACGTCGGTTTTCAGTGAGGACGTGGTATCAGTCCGGTCGAGCCGGCCCATTCGTGTCGAAGCATGGCTCTCCCACACTTAAATTATAGTATACTACCTACTTATAAATAGTTAACTGGTACAGTGCTTTATGGTGAAGTAAAGGCATTTTTAACATATTACAATATTTATTACTCAAAATATTAAAGGTACTTACATTATTTACAAATAAATCTGAATTTACTACGAAGTCACCAAAACTTGAATATATAAATTGCACAAAAGGTATCTTAACGAATTATTCTACGCACTCATAAGAGACATAAATAAAGTAAGAATGTAGATACTTGACGAAACCATTGATAAATAATGTAAAAGTTTATTTCTAGGAATATAAAATGATACAAATTATTTTAATATAAAATTATAAATCGACAATCAATAACAGTAAAGTATAATAAAACCTGTCAAAAGTCTACAAGTCGTTGACAGATGTTTTATTTTAAAACAGACGAGAGACAAAATAATTATAATAAAAACTCTGAATAATTTACTCCTGTTTGTTATTTTATACCGATCCCTTCAACCTGCTTCAACCGTTTGGAGGACGCAAACATTCACATCAACAGCCTATAAATGCCCACTGCTGAGCAAAGCCTCTTCTCACACGGAGAAGGTTTGAGCATTAATCACCACGCTTGTTCACGGCTGCTGAGCGGGATCGTGAGAGGGTCGATCCGTTGAAGGCGTCGAGGAAATAACTACCGCGGCGCCTAATATGTTGATTCCCTGTCTACAATATTGACAGACAAACCTTCGAGGTCATGAGCGCTTAGAGTGGGGAATCTAGGCTGAAGGTCATTTTTAAATTGGGGAATATGATGTTGCGGTGGAGGACCTTTGATATGGTCTGCTTTTAAGTTGAGAGTTTTTTGAGTGAGTCTGGGTAGCTCTTTCTGTCGGATCACTTTGCTCACGAGAACTCAGCTTAACCTGTATCTCAACTCATTGTTTGGAGAGTGGTAGTGTTTTCCAAAGTTTTATTTTATGAGTTCCACTATTTATGTATGTTATGAGTCCCATGTGTGGGTGAGACTCCGTGCTCTTACTAAAAATTAAAAAAAACTCAGTAATACTTTGCCCGATCCGGGAATCGAACCCGAGACCCCTTGCCCAGCAGTCACACTTGCGACCATTCGGCCAACGAGGCAGTTAAAATTAAAAATAAACAATTAATTAAAACAAACGGTAGAGCTTGCCACTTTAATTCTTAGTCAAACAACAGCACTAATACAGAGTAGAAAGTAACACAAGAAAAACATTAGTAATACCCGTAGTTATTTGGCGAATATGTTGAAAGCAATCGTATACGTATTATATAAAGGCTGAAAAAAGCACCAAAACTGAAAGACGTTAAACCAAGAAGCAATATAAACAGGTCTTTGTAAAGATGGAAGTTGTTCCGGCCGTAGTAGTAAGGATATCTGAAATGATAACATACATATGGTATAATGAAAAGTAAATATAAAAGTAAAATAAAGTGGGAACTGTGCTAATTCATCTTTAAACGGTATAAGTAAATAACGGTTGAACTGATTTGACTAATTTTGGTCTTGAAATGTTCGTGGAAGTCCAGGGAAGGTTTAATAGGTGAGAACAATATTTGTAGGAGGTAAGAAGTTTGTCGGCTCAGCTAGTTACCGTAGACCTGGTTCTGATGGCAAGCAAGTGTGTGTCAGTTGGCAATCAGCTTAACTATCGTGCCTGAGAATCAAAGTCTGAGCAGACAGGATGTGTATCCGTAGACGTGCACATAGACGAGTCGTTCCGTAGTTTGGTTCAAAAAGCATATCAGGACCTATAGCTCTGGATATGCTTTTTGATCGACCTTGCAACACCTATAGGTCTGAATATGATAAACAAAAATAACATATTACTATGCAGTTTATAAACACAAAAAATATGATTATACAGTTTATACCCTTTTTTTAGAATATGTTCTCTCTTCAAGGAGTACCCGGCCACACATTGGGTAAATGAAACCAGTTTATCCTGGTCTCACATTGTACGATCTTTGGGCACATTCAACGATCAGTTAAATACTGGACACGTGTGTCCCACGTATGTACTTGTATTAATTCGATATTTACCTGATGCACATATCCATGAGAGCGGGACATATGAGCGCCAATACAGATGTACAGAGATTCCCCACAAATGCCACAAACGGCGCTTGAAACGGGACGATGTAACAAATAATAACTGAAACGATTGAAATGTACATATAATATTTATTATTGTTTCCTAGCTAAGCTACTAGGTGATCTGCTGACCTACTAGCACACAAGATGGGGTGTATATAAATAAAACCACCACTGTGTACTGTTCTATGCTGGTATATATATTTGTACTTATACTTGTACTTTGAACTACTTGGTCTTACAAATCCATTTTACCTTATAGTTTCATTGGTAACGAAACCATAGCTCGATTTTAATTGCGGCAACGCCATCTATCGAGCCATGAGACAACTTTTGAATAATAATATTTATTTTGACTTTAACAATAAGTTTGGTCTTGAACATACCGCCCACCAAGGACATTTAGTGGAGGAATGTCCTTCTTAACATTTGTCCTTAAACTAAATATAACTAAAAAATATGAAAATAGGTTTTTGCACAGTAACATTTTGCACAGGTTTAACAAAAATACAATTCATTAACTGGTAAAATTACAACTTTTTCTTAACATTAAATAAACCTTGGAAACTTAATAGTATCTAAACATAAATAGAACTTGTAGACAAAGTGAGAAAAATCTTCAACAAAACTATATTAAATAAACCTTACAACTAAACAAAAATGTTTATCACGCATCACAAGTTGAGATGATACAAAGCATGTAGTTATTAAAGTACTATTTATCTGCTACTGGCAAAATACACAGTTTGTTAGTTGGCCTCTTAATAATGCTTGTTTTGGTTTTTAATGTGACAACCCGAGTGACTTTATCATCCCCTGGATGTTTGTCGACTACCCGTCCTAACATCCAACGACTTGGAGGTAGATCGTCCTCCTTAATTAGAACGACGTCTCCAATGTTTGGTTCAGGAACAATGAAAGACCATTTATATCTGTTCATTAGATTCGTAAGGTATTCATTGGACCATCGCTTCCAAAAGGATTGCAGCATTCGCTGCACGAATTGCCACCTTGTTAGAGAACCTACTGAGACATTCTCGTAATTGTAATCCGGTACAGAAACAAGCGGTTCTCCGATTAAAAAATGTCCCGGAGTCAAAGGCATAGATTCTCCTGGATCGTCTAAATGAATAACACTAATAGGTCGTGAATTCAAGCAAGCCTCGACCTGAGTAAGGAATGTAGTGAGCTCTTCATATGTGAGAGTAGACTCGCCTATTACGCGCTTAATATGGTATTTTGTGGACTTCACCCCCGCTTCCCATAGACCGCCAAAATTGGGTGCATGGGGGGGAATGAAGTGCCATTCAGTGCCATTTGCTTCTAAATTTTCTGCTATGGATGACTGCAAAGTTGAAATTTGCTGAAGTTCCCTAGAAGCACCAACAAAAGTGGTACCATTGTCGCTCCACAACTTTGAACAGTGGCCTCGTCGAGACACAAATCGTCTAAAGGCAGCTAAGAATGCCTGTGTTGTCATGTCACTGACTACTTCGAGATGAAGAGCGCGTGTAGTCATACACACAAACAAACATATGTAGCCTTTGTACGCTTTGTGTCCCCTACCTTTAGTGGTTCTAATGTTTATTGGACCTGCGTAATCAACACCGCTGTGCAGGAACGGCCTTGCAGGGGAGCATCGAATCGATGGAAGCGACCCCATCATTTGATTGCGAATAGTGGCTCTTTGTTTCGCACAAATGATGCACTTGCGAACGTATAGCTTCACCAGTTCTCTTACACCAATGATCCAATAAGCGGTTCGCAAATAATTAATCATTAATTGTGGACCTCCATGTAGAGTTTTACTATGAGCGTCCGCAATTATGAGTAGGGTAAAGTGTGACTTCTTGGGCAAGATTATGGGGTGCTTTATTAGTTCATCTAGTGGAGCCTTATCTATTCGTCCCTGAGCTTTCATAATGCCTTTGTCATCAAGGTAAGGACATAAGGATTTGAGTGTACTATTTTTCAAAGGTAAGTCTGATTTTCATATAATTGTTTGTACTCTGTGGAAAACTCTTTCTTTTGTACTATCTTTATACAACATTCTAATGCTTCATGTATCTCTTTCTTTTGCAGGTAAAGTTTGCTTCTGGCATCTCTGTTTAGGAATCGACGACAATATGCAACAACCTTTAATAACTTTGGCAATGAAGAAAATCTCTCAAGTAAGTCAAAATCATTTGATATAATAACTCCTACATGAGTTTTAATCGACTGTTCTAAATTGATCTCTAACTCTTTTGGTCTAAAATAACTAATTTCCGTTTCTTTCAGAAACTGTGGTCCTGAAAACCACATTGTATTTTGCCTAAACAAACTTGGTGACAACCCTCGAGAGGCAACATCCGCTGGATTATCTTTAGTCGACACGTGGAACCACTGCGAAGCTGACATTGTGGTTAAGATTTCGGATGTCCTATTGGCGACAAAGGTTTTCCATTTACTGGGGTGGCTGTTGATCCAAGCTAACACCACAGTAGAGTCTGTCCACGCTTTAATCTTATCTTTGGGTATATTCAACACCTCAGCAGTTTCCATCAATAGTTGTGACAGGAGAACTGCCCCACACAGCTCTAAGCGAGGAATGCTAACTTGTTTTATTGGTGCCACGCGAGTCTTTGCAACCACCAATGACACTTTGACCTCTCCTACGTTTTTAGTTAGTCGCATGTATACTACAGCGGAATACGCTACCTTCGACGCGTCACAAAATCCATGGAGCTCTACGTCGGTTTCTATGGTTTTCCCCAGCCAACGAGGTATATTAACTTCGGTAAGTAATGTTAGCTGTTCCCGATAAGTACGCCATTCTTCCGTTAATTGTTCAGTAAGTAGTTCATCCCAACCGAGACCCGCGAGCCATAATTTCTGTATAAAGATTTTGGCTACAACTATTGTGGGCGCTAGCCAACCCAATGGGTCGAATAATCTAGCTATATCAGAGATTACAGTTCTTTTTGTTGCAGGTGTATTCTGAAGCGGCGGGAGATGAACGGTGTACCGGAAGGAGTCATCATTACGATCCCAGGTAAGTCCCAAGATCTTCATAGTATTATCTAATTTCATTTCTAATTCCTTTTGATCTCTATCTTTAGCTTTACTCTCATTTTCTTCGTTGTTCTCTACTTTATGCTCTATTGTATTAATTTGATCTAATAACTCTTTATTGTTAGTATTCCACTTTTGAAGTTCAAAACCTCCTTTGGCTAAAAGTTCTTTCATTTGCTTGTAGATTTTGATGCCGGTAGTGACGTCATCGCATCCGGTCATTAAATCGTCCATATAGTAGCATCTTAGTACCTTTTCAGTCACGAGAGGATATTCGTCGCCTTCGTCGTAAGCAATTTGATGGAGAGTTCTAACCGCCAGGTAAGGTGCCGACGCCGTTCCAAAAGTAACTGTTAGGAGTTCATAGTCTTTGATCGACTCGTTAGGACTGCTCCGCCAGAGTATCCTTTGAAACATAGCATCCTCATCAGCTACCCTAATTTGGCGATACATCTTAATTATATCTGCCACCAATCCAATAGAGTGAGTTCTCCATCTCATAATTGTGTGCCTCAAGTCCGCTTGTAGTGTCGGTCCAACCATCAAAGTATCATTTAAGGAAACTCCTTTATTGTTCTTCTGAGATGCATTGAACACAACTCGAACCTTAGTAGTGGTTTTGTCTTCTCTTACGACGGCGTGATGTGGTAAATAAACAGCTATTTCTTTTTTATTGTCATCTGGTTTTACAGGTCGCATGTGCCCTAAACGTAAGTATTCTTCTATTACATCCGAGTACTTTTCTTTTAGCTCAGTGTTCTTTGCCAACCGTTTCTCTAATGATTTTAATCTGTTTTCAGCTATAGCGCGAGAATCACCTGCTGTGCACTGCGGATCCTTAACTCGAAATGGTAGCCGGACTTCATATCTACCGTCTGCTCTTCTTTTAGTTGTGGCCTTGTAAAAGTCTTCACATTGTTGTTCTTCTGGCGAAAGTACCTTTTTTGTACTAGTTTGATCTTGAATTTCCCAAAACTGTTTGAGAATTTGATCTAAATTGAACTGAGCGTGTGCTACACTAACACATGGTTGTGTGTAACTTGAACTATTGTCAGTGTTTGACCTATGTACTACACCAGATAGAATCCACCTAATGTGGTGTTCTGAGCAATTAAAGTAGCAGTTGGACTTTTGATAATGCCTGGTTTTATTATGCAACCATAAACATCTGCACCTAGTAAAATATCAATTTTACTGGGTTGATTGAACTGTGGGTCGGCCAACTGTAAGTTGGTGACATCGAACCAGTTAAAAGTATTTTTATTTAATGCTTGATCAGGTAAGTATGAAGTAATTTTACTAATGACGTAAGCGTTGAAATTTAATTTAAAACCTGAATCTACCCTTGATTGAATAGTTATATTCACCATATGTTTCGCTATAGTCGACTTCTGACCTAATCCTGACACCATTCCATGGATGGGAATTTTCTTAAGCCTTAAGAACTGCACTGTGTCCTCAGTCACAAAACAAGCCTGTGAACCTTGATCCAACAGAGCTCTTACTACCTGATAGTTATCCGTCTTGGACTCAGCTTTTACTAGAGCAGTGGCTAGTAAAACTCGTCCAGGAACAGGAACCGTGTTAGTAGATATGCAAGAGACTACTGGAACAGAACTAGTCGAAGGACTATTTTCAACGACAGTAGGTTTTGATGCAGTATCACTCCCGTTCAGCTTTGGGTGCAGCAAAGAATGATGACGCTTATGGCAAAGTTTGCAAGTTGTTGGTTTCTTACAGTTTATTACCGTGTGATTACCTCCTAAACAATTAAAACAAATGTTGTGTTGCGCTACAAATTTACGTCTTTCTTCCAAGGTTTCCTTTGCAAATCTTTTACAAAAGCACAGTTTATGAGACTCGTTACAATACTCACAACGTATGTTGCTTGAACTCACTACCATTGATTTAGCAACATGCGAATGATTATTTTGATTTTGAAGATGTCTCTTTGGTTCTATAAATTCAAGAGCGCGGAACCGGTTCTCTAAAAACGTAGCAAATTCATCATAAGTAGGCAACTCATTGGAATCGTGATTACTAAGACTTAATTCCCATTGTTTTCGCGTTTCTGAATCGAGCTTAAAAGTAACTATGTGGATGATAATGACATCCCAAGTTGTCACATCTACCTTTAGATTTTTCAAACCGTTAAGACAGTCATTTGTTGTGTCTAACAACTCCTTTAAAGAAATCGCTGACTCAACATGCATACGTTTTAACCCAAAAAGACGTTTCAAAATGCAGTTAACTAAATACTTTTTATTGCTGTATCTTTTCTCTAATTGTGCCCAACACTGACTGTAATTTACTTCGGAAACCGGTGTTTGTCTAACAAGCTGTTCAGCCTCACCGCTAAGATGACTCTTCAAGTAGTGCATTTTCTGAACATTGTCTAAACTACTATTGTTATGCACGAGTGACACAAATAGGTCTTTAAAAGTTGTCCACTCAGAGTATTTGCCACTAAAGTTTGGAATTGATATTTTTGGTAGTTTTACAAAAGAGTTTATACTTGATTTATTTGAATTACTAGAAGTACCAGGTTCCGAAATAGTAGCCTTAGGAACATCATATTTTGCAAGCATGGACTTAATCAGACATGTGTATGTGACATATGTGTCTTCTGTACTATCATATAATTCCGATAATATTCTATTCCCTTGCGTTTCATATTGTTCATGCAGTTTAGTGTAATTAGTTACAAACAAATTCCAGTCCCGTTCTAACAACTCTCTTCTAGTTTCAATATAATCAACAGACAGTCTTTCTTTAGGCGACTTTTTAAAATTACTCAACCCTCGCTGAATAACATTTTGAAGTTCCATTAAAAGATTAATTAACCCTTCCATTTTATTGACCAAAATATCAACTAACAAAAGCTAAACAATTAACTTGTGTAAATAACTCTAACCAAATCTCATCAAACTTAATAAGAACAATACAACATACAAAACAATTTGAAAGAAATTTCATAAATATTTGAATGAATTTTTATAAGTGACCAAACTAAGGAATTATTCTAAGTGTAAAAAATTCCTAAAATTTTTACAAGTGTTTGAACTTCATTTATTGGGACGGAAATCCGGCATAGACTCCCCGTTCCCTCGTTTTTTCTAAAATTATTCTAAGTCTAACATGCACATATTACTCTAAGATTAAATTAAGTTAAAATAAACTAAGTCTTTTCTTCATAGATCACAATCCAATAAAATATTCTAAGTCCGAAATTTCTTTGAAATAGAGTCTAAAATTGCTTGAAACTTGTCTTGAAATCTAATAATAAAAAGAGTACTCACAGTTTGCACTTCACACTAACACACTATGCACCTCCAAGTGGCGCCCTCTGTGGCTGCCCGCTGAACTGCGCGTACGTCCCCTGTGACGTCGCGTGACGGCTGCGCCACCTTGCTGTCTTCTAGTGGAGTGTTGATCTGAATGGCGCCCTCTGGTGGCCACTCGTTGAACTAATCCGCCAAAGCTGGCTCAGCTCACCGCCAATGCTGTGTGAAGCTGTCGCCGCTAGTGCGGAGGACTCGCGTACCTTTCTGTAGCAATCCACTACAAGTACGCGGAAAAGCGGCCAACGCGGTCGCCGTTTTGAACTCAAAAATGATCCGGGTCGTATGGACCAATGTTTCCTAGCTAAGCTACTAGGTGATCTGCTGACCTACTAGCACACAAGATGGGGTGTATATAAATAAAACCACCACTGTGTACTGTTCTATGCTGGTATATATATTTGTACTTATACTTGTACTTTGAACTACTTGGTCTTACAAATCCATTTTACCTTATAGTTTCATTGGTAACGAAACCATAGCCATAACCACGATTTTAATTGCGGCAACGCCATCTATCGAGCCATGAGACAACTTTTGAATAATAATATTTATTTTGACTTTAACAATAAGTTTGGTCTTGAACAATTATACAATTATACATATAGGTAACTTGGCTACAATTCTGTGGAAATTTGGAGGTTTATTAACGGGAGAAGGAAAATTAAAGAACGGGTATCTTCTGAAGTGGAGATGGGATATTGTCGAGCTACCAATATACATCCGCTGTATAGTTCCTCTATCCCTCAAAAACATAAAAAAATATAAGTGTAGAACTTACATGACATAACAACGAACAATGGTCTAGCGACAGTTTCAATCATGCGCAGTGTGATGTCCGATGGTATAGTCAACTGGTCGTGGTACTTTATCACTTCGATAATGGTTGCAATGGCGGGGTAGCATTGTAGTGGAAACGCGAAAGCGACAGCAACCAAGTAAAGGCCCATTGCAATCATCGAAGATCTACGAAATATTATTTAATTAACTAAATGTTATTATCAAGACTTGTGGCAAGTTATCGATGTTGTTAGACATCGAGGACTAAAGGGGAGGCCTTTGTCTAGTAGAGGACGTCTTCTAGTAGATCCAAGACTTTGTTAGTAAATGAATCTTTGCAAACACCTTTTTAATATTGAACAAAATCTTACTAACTACTTAATGACTACTCAAAAAAAAATGTTGGAGGTGAAGCTGCAGGCACAGAACTTTGTTCGAAATGATTCTCTTTCACCAGCTTTTTCGTGCTTTTTTTAAAAAAAAAAGTATAAATACTAAGACGGTGGCAAAAAGCACACGGCCCACCTGATGGTAAGCGGTTACCGTGGCCTATGTACTAGGGATGTAACGGAAGTAGTTTTATCGGAACCGAAGGCGGAATCGGAGTTTTTAAATTTGCTTAATCGGAATCGGAACCGGAGTCGGAATCGGAATCGGAGGCAAGGTCAGAAGTGGTGATATGAGAAAGAATTATTATTTAAGGACAAATTCTACATTGTGCAGTATTTTTTTATTCATTTCAGAAATTAATTTGTCAATTTTTATAGATTTAGGATTAGAAGTGCACAATTTTGTAATCTTCACCAAAGTTTCTTTCAAAGTCATTTGTTTTCTAGCATACTGAAAGGGGGTCGAAATCGAAGACTGTTCAGTATTTTTTTTTTAGTTTCTAACTTTATTAATTCTTCATATTCAATGGCATGAATAGACTTCAAATGGCTTTTTAAAGACGTTGTCGTACCTCCCTTTTTTATATACGTCTTCATACACAGTTTAAATTTTGTCGAATCTGAATTAACTGCAATGAAGTAGTTCCAAATACAACTTGATTTAGGTTTCATTGTCAAAAATTAAAACATAAGTATCTAACTATATAAACTAACCATGGGTCGGGGGGAGGGGCAATTCCCCGAGCGACGTGTATGAACCTGTCGCAGCACTCATAACAATCGGTGGGCACAGGCCGCCGCGCCCGTCCGGTATCTATGCTTCGACCTCCGATTAAAACCTCCGATTAAAAAGTGTCGGAACCGAAATCGGAACCGAAAGTATAATAATAATCGGAAGTTCCGACTTAACGGAACCGGAATCGAAGCTCCGTAACATCCCTACTATGTACGCCTGCATTACATGCGTCTTGCCGACCATTAAGAAACCTATTCACTCCCCTCTTGAAAAACCCCATGTTGTAGCCCATTGGGAAAACCACAGCATGGAGTTCATTTCACAATCGGAGGGTCCGTGGGAGAAAATTCCTCTGAAACCGAACTGTACTGTGCTAAATACAATTAGGTAACTAATAAATTTAACTTAATTTTTTTTCGATGCCACACAGTCACAACCTCTGTTTTCTACCTACTTTACAGATCTCAATCTATATTTTATTGATCAAAACAAATTATCACATCACATCTATATATCTAATTTATTTCAAATTAACTGCATGATTATATAGTCCATCCGTTAGGCAGTCGGCTACTTCCATTTACTATAATACTTAACGGTTACTATTCTAGAAATGTTTGATGCCAATAGCCTGTTTAATAAGAGGTCACCCACGTTTCGTCATATGGCAGGGATCGTAGTACATTCTCTTCCATGGCACCGAAGGTCAAGTACCCCAGGGTGCCGAATATCACCGAGATGATGGTCGGCCCAAGAATACCGACGTTCAGTACTCCGAACCTGCTGGTCATCATTTTCGCTTGCTTCAGACTTTTGTCTATGGACAGGGTCTACAGGCAGGTAAAATGATATTTAAAATAATGTGACATTACACCTTAAAAAGGCTGTCCCAAAAATCATGCAAAAAGTAATTTCGATAGAAAAAGTAGGTTTAGCATACTACATTGTACAGTGGCAATAAGTGTTGTAATGTGCTCTACCTACCCTCCGGGGATAAAAGGCGTGATGTTATGTTATGTTAATGACGTATGTATAAAAGTAAGATATAAACTTTCTCACCACTCCTATTGCACTCAAATTGAATAACAATACACCAAAACAAAACATTATAGATCCCAGGTCCGTATGCGTTTCCACCTCTTTCCCATCATAATCTGACACTATATGCTCAAAGACGAATATAATTCCTAACAAATTCAGAAAATTACCTGCAAAAGATTTATGAAAACCATAATTAAAATCTTATATCACATCAACAGCCTGTGAGTGCCCATTGCTGAGTCCCTCTTCTCACATGAAGAAGGCTTGAGTATTAATCACCACGCTTGCTCAAGCGGATTGGCGACTTTAAACTTATAATAAGAAGTCATAAGCCCAGGTTTCCTCACGATGTTCAGCAGGGTGAATGCAGGGCTGGCGCGGTGAGTGGGTAACTGTCTGCCGTGCTCAAGTTCCGCAGTGAACAATTACTCTTAGTGTGACCCATAAATTGTTGTTCCGGGTCTGGGTGTCATGTATATATGAATTTGTGTATTTGTTAACGCACCCACGACACAGGACAAAATCCTAGTGTAAGGTAATGTTTTTTATAAAAATAAAAATCCTATTAAAATCTATGAAAAACAATATTAACCCTTTGAGTATCGTCATTATAGACACAATTAAAGAACAATAGGTTGCGGTCACCGGTGTTCTCGCGGTGTTTGACAGTTTAAGTAAGTATAATACCTATACATATGTCGCAGTCATTTAGTTTAATTAGCTATTTATTTGGTGGAATGACTATGGGACAACTCGTCAAGACGTTGAATGAAAAGTCATCGTCATTCATTTGTAAAGTCAATGGGATATGGCTGACTTTATAATGTTCGGTTAGGATGACTATGACTTTTGGGGGGACCTCCCTTTGGCCTAATACCACCCCTAGATCAAAATACTTTCTGTTTTCGAACTAATATACTTAGGAATCAGGATAAGGTCTCTACTGGTCTTAGTTTTAGGGTATACCCGGGTCTGTAAATAACCTAGACAGCTGGTTTCACAATTTGAATAATGAGCAATCTATGAACGAACCCGGGGGCAACAGCTGAATGTAAATAAATGAATTTAACTCACCCAACATGGCCACGTAACTGACAATAGACAAGTCCTTCATAAGGAATTCTAATACAAAATACGGGAACACGAGGCACATGAGGGACGGCTGACTGCCCTGCCAGTCCATTATCTACAAAGAAAATGAATCTAGGTATAGATGCATAGGTACATATCGTCGTGTCTGAAACTCATTTGTCTCTCGCGCTAGAATTTACATCTGTTCAAAATTTCATCACGATCCCTGAAGCCGTTTTGACGCGAAGGTAGAATATTAGTAGAATAAGAAGCATAATATATTCAATTAATATATAATATTGGTACAAAATCAGTCGCGTAATAATGATACGACCACTTACATCTCTCAAACAATCGCTGGTGAATATAACGAATACTGAACAAATCCCAAGTTGACTGGCCACCATAAATATGGCTATTATTGTCCTGTGAAAAAAGGTAATTAAGATTCATCCAAATATTAAATAGTGTAACGCGGCAATTCGATTTTGGTTTGTGTCGGACGCATGGCAAAAAATAAATAAATAATAATTCGTCTACTTAAAAAACTATCAGTTGTAAAAGAAAGTATCATGCCTTAATTTTTTTTTTTTTTGGTTTTATTGAAAAGTGGCACGGCATTCCCACACTTACACGGGTCACTTGTAAAATTTATCGGTTTAAAAATTATAATATTTGACAAGTTATATACTCACGGACCGTGTCTGCCCAGGAAGTGGAACGCAGGGGGTCCATGTAGGAGAGCCACACGGAAACCATATCGATACGATATGTATGGTATCTGCAGCTGCTTTGCTATCTCGTTCAGGCATTCTAACTGAAGAAGCGAACAATAGTCAAATTGTTTTCTTTAGAATTCACTAGATGGCATCTGTGGGGTTTGTCCTTTTAGACATTATTATCATCAACAACCAGACTATGGGCGTCCTCTATACATAGACGGGTTCGCTGTAAATTTCGTGCTTGGTATTTACCAGTAAATGGTGAACATAATTGACCAGAAGTCCTGTGAGTATAGTGAGGATCGGCCCCACTATGATGCCAGCCTGACTGATCACAAGCGGCATTGCCAGCATCCCGGCAGCACACATCGACCGCAACAGGTTGAAATACGCCATCCACGGCCTGACATTACAATAATAAATTATATTTCTTTAGTTTTAAGAACTTCTGATTGTCATTGACATTCATAATTGCGGTTTCCAGGTGAATAAGCTTTTATATTCTGTTAATTAGGTCGATTTTTCTAATTAATATATTGCTATATTTAGAAGACTGAATTCAAGTAATTTTGTTTGTGTTAACCCTCATGCCCGCTACTACTGCCCGCTTTCGTTTGTCACTTGAACACCTGTGACCGTAGTGTTTACGTAGTGGTTAATGAAATGCTATCATGATATGGAGGTTTAGAGAACAGAGAGTTCCCTAAGATCGGAAAAGGAGGATCCTCCGACCAGGCGAGGTGATCGTGCCTGGCGGGCTTTCTGCCCAACAGTTGTTCGTTGGGATTTTCTATCCGTGTTTATTCGCTTGTAAACTTTGCATGTGCGATGCAGGATTCTTGTGACGTCATCCGTTAACATGTGGCATGCGTCGCCACAGAGGATTAACTATTATGGGTCCAACTAAATAATGAGGTATCAACTTAAGGGAGTTGTATAGGGTTGAATAACAGTCACATTATATAAAACGTGGGTGTCTTCAAGGCCCGAGTGAGTAGGTTGCTTATGGGCAGATGTACTCCATCGTAGACCGATCATCGCTTACCACCAGGCGATATAGAGGCCAAAAGACGGCCATATGCTTGATAGCTGTCTAGCAGTTAAGTGATCGCAGATATTCCAGAGAAAATTTAAAGGATTCTGCCGTGGGCCGCTGCGCGCAATACCCTCGGTGAGTTCTCGTCATCATCAACAGATTGTGACAGTCGAATACTGAATTACAAGTCCCCTCTACATACGACGGGTTTACCATAATTTCGACGCTGGTCAGGTTGGTTGCAGATTGTACTTTAAAAGGTTACGGTTAACTAAAGGCACTGCTACCCGGCCTCTGTTAAATGTGTAGTCCTTTAGTCCCCTAGCCGGCTCTTACGAAAGGGTGTCAGGTGTCGCCGACACCTGCGGGACAGTATATACTCTTCTGATGTGGCGACATGTTTGCATACTTAATATTATGTGTGGGTGATCTATGGTCTTTGGGGTTGTAGTCATTTTCCTCCGGCCTCAGTGAAGGTAACCTCGTCCTCCTGATGTCAATAGTTTGGTCCGTATGATGTGGTTGGAACGTAAGCCTACTGACTTGCTCAAACGCTGCCCTGAAATATGAATGCATACAATAAATTTATTGAAAGATTCGATTCGCTTTTGTAGAAAATTTGTGAAAAACTAATCATAGCACACAGGTTTTAAATCGAGAGATCTCTGTCTTAACTCCATTCAACATATCACCAAAAACTTATTATTACCGTTACTACTAAAAACTCTTATAAACCAATACGATAGTTATTCACATATTTTTAGTATATTTTATAATTAGTATTTATTTAGTTTTATGCAATTGCATAAGAAGGACTGAATGCTAATAGCATTCTTTGCCAGTCATCCAGTTACTGTTATCAGTATAATTATAGTTGTAGGTATCAATACTATCAGTTTTTATGTCGAATTCAATCTTATATCAATTTGTACTTCATTTTGTTAAAAATACCTTTACTCCACCTCAAAATATGCAAAGGTACTTACATTATTTACAAATTGAACTCTGAATTTACTACGAAGTCAACAGAAACTTGAATTTTGGTTATTCATACAATTTGCACTTGCATAGTTATCATAACGAAATATTTAAATTCATGCTAAATTTACTCATAAGGAAATAAATAAACAAAAACGATAGATACTTGTCGAACCCATTGATAAATAATGTAAATTTTGTTTATTTCGAGGAATATAAAATGATATAAATCATTTTATTACAAATTAATTTAGCATCTTTATCATTAAAGTGTATTAAAATCTGTCAAAGTCTTAAAGCCGCTGACAGATGTTTTATTTTACAAGGCAAGAGACAAAATAATTGTAATAAAAACTATGAATTATCTACACCTATTTCAAATTATAATTTCATCCATCTTCAGAAGTTTTAATGTGATTGAGTAACAAACAAACACATTAGCTTAGGCATTTATACTATAAGTGAGATAAGTATGAAGATTATAGTATTTATATTTTTAACTAAGGGTTCGTACACAAAACTGCGATGCAACGTCGCAAGAACTTGCGAATTGATTCGCATCGCGCTTCAAATCTTATCTTCCCAAAATCTTCTTTGTTTTTTCCTGTATCTCCTAAGCAATAACAGAAGTGCACATTTCTTTTTACGATCCATGTCACGACCTAGTTTTCAATTTAAAATACGATTAGTACGGTTGACGATTGTCGAAGGAATGGTCACCCTTTATTTTTTTTTTGAGGGGGGAAAATCGTCCAATTACTTCTCCCACCCGGGTGAGACGAAAGGGAGTCTCAGACTCTTACTGACTAAAAACCACCCCGTTCCTACTACTACTTACACATCGAGCCGGAGCCCCGGTAAACCGTTAAGTAGTCCACGGCTCCGTATCGGCATCAGCCCTGTTGGACCCCATCTGTGGTGGTCTGATGGCTCCTTGGGTGTCTCACGAGAGGGCTGGGGCGTGAGGAGGTTCGTTCACTCATGGGTTCTGCCTCCTACTTAGCTAGCATGACTGCTTGGCAGAAGGAGGAGACGTCATCCTCGCTCCGTACCATGGTCTGAACCAGAGCCGGGTGCGAGAGGTCGCCGTCGCCGAGGAATGGTCACCCTAAGAGACGCTTTGTCACACGAAATCCCATCGCAGCAATTCGCATCGTAACTTTTTGCGTTGGGAATTTGCATCGCGTTGTATTGCAGATTTGTGTACCAGCCCTAAAACCATTAATTCGTAATGGTTTTAGGGCTCATAAGGTACGTTCTAAGGTTTTGTAAGAATACAAAATTTAGTAGGTAGGTAAATCGATTGACGCTGTTACATCATACGTAATAGGTACGTACAATAAAAGGAAACAACGAATCAAATCTTAAAATAATATTTTAATTATAAAACTAAATTAAAAATACATTAACCATAAATAATAACTAAATTAAAATTAATAAAATCCCGGATTGTTTGGCGAGTTCCTCGAGAGAATCCTCACGTGTATGATGTAACCACACATGAATGCGCCCACGATCCAATTAAAGAGGCCTAGGGCTATAAGAAGAAGGTTCTTGATTAAATGGAAGTTCATGTAACCGTACTCGTCAGGGTACTTCAAGCAGATGTCCATGAGAGCTGGAAAGACCACAGATACCATTGCGGTACAGAGGTTCCCCGTAAACGCCACGAAAGGAGCTTGGAATGGTACGAAGTAGCAAATCGTAACTGAAACAAGATATAACAGTATTATGGTATAACCTGGGAGTCTTCAAGGCCCGAGTGAAAAGGTTGCTTATAAGACGACGTGCTCTTATCGTAGACCACATCATCGCTTACCACCAGGCGAGATAGTGGTCAAACGTCGCCCCATCAAATATGTAAAAAATGCATTATATTGAATTTATAATATTAGGTACGCACTATCATTAGGCAGGTGGCAGGATTTTCCTTTATGACGTGGACGTTCAATCACACATCTCTCAGAGTATTCGTTCTATCAACACTATGATCAGTTTATTGGTTGAACGTAAAACACATAAAAAGTTATTTATTATTATTTTTTAGAAGAACGTAGATAAGAAACTCAAAGATAGTACGGGTAAACGAAACCTCCACTTACAGGTTAACAATACGAATAGCGGTCGTCCAAAGGTCTCTATTCTATGCAGCATTTTAGCTCCAGGAACAACCATGGGATCATGGTACTTAATTACTTCTATTACAACGGCGATAGCTGGATAACATTGTATGGGGTATGCGAACGTCACAGATATCACGTAAACGGAGAGAATTATCAATGCTGTGCTGAAATACAGTATTAATTTCATTAGAATTTAATTTTCACTATGTGATATTAATAAATATAATTAAATTAAATTATAATGAATGAAAAACTCGCCGCTACTGGTGCTACAGTGAGCTATACGGTGTGACACCGAGCTACGCGCTGCTACGAGAGCTATGGTAAGATACACAGTGCTACACCGAGCTACGCGCCGCTCCAAGTGCTACACCGAGCTACGCGCCGCTCCAAGTGCTACGGTTGGTCGCGGAGAACCTAACGGGTAACCGGGGCTCCGGCTCGACGTGCAGGAGAAGGAACGGGGTGGTTTTTAATCAGTAAGAGTCTGACACTCCCTTCCGCCTCACCCAGGCGGGAGCAGTCATTCGATGATTTTCCCCCCTTAAAAAGTGCTACGGGTGAGCAACACAGTGTTACACCTCGCTACGCGCCGCTACAAGCGCTACGGTTAGCTATACGGTGTGACACCGAGCTACGCGCCGCTACGAGTGCTACGGCAAGATACACAGTGCTACACCAAGCTATGCGCCGCTACAAGTGCTACGGCAAGATACACAGTGCTAAACCGAGCTACGCGCCGCTCCGAGTGCTACGGCAAGCTACACAATGCTACACCTAAGTCATGCGCTGCTACGAGTATAACAAATTATAAAAATTTAATGTTTATAATGGGCTAATTGCACTAATAAACGAAACTAACAAAGTATTAAAAAATGGTTGCTAATATATTTGACAAATATTTATGACGTTAGTAGTAATTACACTTCGTCAAGCGGTAGTACTCGAAGGATATTCTCTTCCATGGTGCCGAAAGACCAGTAACCTAGGACTCCAACAATCATGCTGACCACAGTGGGCACCAACATCCCAACGGGGATCACGCCAAACTTGCTCGTCATTATCCTAGGATTCACCAAATTTTTGTCCAGTTGCAGGATCTGCAGAAATGGCGGAAATATTAGTATGTCGGATGCTACACATCTTTGGGGCTATTCGTATTTTAGTCGTGCGGTTTCAGTCGCCCGTGTAAACCATACAGTCTTCTCGTCCTTAAAGTCTTTTCTGAGACGAAGAAAAAACGGGAACTGATTGATAGATAGTGACTTTTGGAATCAAGCAGGCTATCATATACCATTTTTGCTCTACAAGAAACGAGTATTGTGCAATCTGTTAGTAAGTGATTGGCAATTGTTGCTGTTTGATATAAAGTAGAATACATTTTCTATATTTTTTGCTCTTGGGAACACGAAAACCATTTAAAATATTTGGGAAATACGAATTTCAATTGAATCCCTTACCACACCAACTGCACTTAAGTTACATAAGTAAGCTCCACACGCGTATAGTATGGGCATCAATTCATCAGCTGCGTACTTGTATATCTTCACAGGGTCACTTAATGTCTGGTATATCACCAGTACTAATCCCATCAAATTCAACATAGTACCTAAAATGGACAGAATAATTAAACATTTTCTAACCCTGGATACCTATCGAAATTACGTTGTACTTTAAGCATTTTGGAAAACTGAAAATCCTTTAATACGTTGCCTTAGTCTTTTGGGAAGGAGGGGGGGGGTCATCAAGTTACTACCCCTAATTTAGGTTAGGCGGGACGAGTGTCAGACTCTTATTGACTAATAAGAGTTCCCGTTCCTATTCTTGTTACGAGCTGGGGACGTAGTGACTCATGGTGGATTTACACGCAATGATTTCAAGCAGTCTTCTGCTCTGTATTAGTACGTATACGGTATTCAACATAAAGTATATTTTTTTAATGAAATCACCTGCCAATGCGATGTAGCTGACAATGGACAAGGTTTTCATGCAAAACTCCAATAATAGAAAAGGAGGCAGCAACGCTAACAGAGCTGTATTATTACTCTGCCAGTCCATGAGCTGAAACCAACTAAATTACATTAACCCGTCGTGTGTCTAAACGTGGATCCACGTGAGACACAATGTATTTTCTATTATGTCTCATATCGGTGCATTCAAGCGGTTAAAGATATACCGTCACCTTATAATACTAGTCTAGTAGTAAACATTTTCATAAGTGATGTTATGTTAAATAGTTCCAAATTATATAAATGTAGTTTATCATTACAATTATGACATAGTAATCTGCTGGAATAGGTGTCCATTAAACTAAAGTACGGCGATTGTAGGAAGTTTTAGTTAAAGAAATAAACTTACATCTCTCACACTGTCCGAAGTTAAAATTACGAAAATTGTACAAATTCCAAGCTGACTCATAAACATAAATATTGCTATAATTTGTCTGAAATAAAATGAAAAACAAACAAACATTACTTCGTCCTTCCCATATCCGCAAAACAATATACAAGAGAATACGTAAAAGAAATAATATAAACGAGAATGTAATGAGCAAAGAGCTAAACCTGATCGGAGACCATTCCACTTCCGAGGAAGTTAAAATCTACGATGTTTTCGATATAACCCAGCAAGCCTTGGACTGGAATCGGAATGGAAATGTAGTGTAGCCGTCTCCATAAAACCTGACGTCAGCAGTCTGACGTGGCAGAACGGTGCGGTGGGTAACGATGACCCGTGAGCGTAAGACAAATGACGATGGGGGACTTCTACAGGCGCTCACTGCTCCGACAAGGACACATATAGAATAAAGTTAAGTAACAATCGTCACTTACGGACCACATTTTCCAATGCCGTTGAAAATGGGCGGACCATGAAGCACTGCCAACCGAAAGCCATATCTATACGATATATATGGTATCTTTAATTGTCTCGCTATTTCAGTAAGACTTTTTAGCTGGAAGTATATTCAAGATTAGTGGCAAAACAAACAGTTTGATAGAGCAAATAAAGTAAGGAAAGGAATTGTGGGTTGCGGAGCGTGCCGTGGTGAAGATTAAAAATCTACTCCAGCATTCACAACTTAATAAAAAGCCAAAATTAAAATTCAAAATAAAAATTACATACCAACATGATGTGTGTATGTACGAGCAGAAGTCCATAAGAAAGCCCCAGAATAGGTCCCAAAATGAGACCGGTCTGACTTATGGCTAAAGGCATAATCAGTACACCGGGGCCAAATAGTGACCTCACTATGTTGAAGTACGCCATCCATGGTCTATAGATGGAAAAATCGGGCTAAATTGGTTTTACTTGTGAACTACGTCCTCTACTGTTACGAGTTTTAAAATGAGTAAATAAGGCCCAAAATCCTCTGATCTTGCTGTCGTGAAAATAAAGGAATCATGTATGTCAATGATTTTTATGTTCTGCGTTCTTTTAATCATATTTCCTAGTACACACATTCTCCGATTTTGAGGGGTATAATTATTGCCCTCCTTTTCTACCGGTGAAACTATAGGTAAGAAATAAGGTCTACTCTTACTTTATGGGGGTTTGAGGATTCCTGTGATCCAGTGGGTCATAACCATCGTCAGCAGGAGTTACCGAAGGTAGCCGGGTCCTTCTAATATCGATTTTTTCCAGAAAATCATCTGGCTTTACATATAATGCACTAACTCGTTCAAATGCCGCCCTGTAATTGCAAAACGCAGAACTCTACATTTAAATAATTATAGCATTCGTCCTTTCAAGAAGGCAAAACCTAGCTTATGGGGTTGTAGTTATTGTGAGATAAATAGCCCAATTTCAGTTAATACAAGAAAACAAGATTATACATATTGGCACTTACATTTAGGGCTTGTATTATAAAATGAAATAGATATACTTATAAAAGATCTTTCTTTAATAATTCTACAATTAATTAATTCTTATTCAATGCTTTCAGCGAAGACTTTCAAGGACGTCAATCAAAGAGTATTACAATAATAAAAATTATTAAAGTATTATAATAGTTGTAGGTATAGGCTATACTTATTATACTCTTTGACGTCCATTAAGTCAAGATCAGTCAAGATGACAAAATTGAATCACAGAACCCAGAACAATACAGAATACAGAAATCGATTACAATAATAACTTATAACTCATCTAAAATTTATCTCAAGATCACCTCTGGCTTGAACACATTTTTATTTTTGTGCAATCACTTGATTTATTGGAAGATTTAGATTTTTATATTATTCAAAACAAGAGCACGTTAGTCTACGATATAACATTCTTTGTAAATCCGCAGGTTGTTGACAGCTGTTATTCTATCTTGTCTATTGTTAAAAATGACAGCAGCTAGTGGAGATTGATAAAGGTGGAATTGCTGTATTTCGTTAAAATCCTTTCATGATCTTTTATTTTATATCTTTTATCCTAAGTCTCAAGAATGATGTCAACAACAGAAGGCGAGTTGGACGTTGAAGTTCCTCTGGACAGGGAAGAAGGGGAGGTTAGAACTAACTTTTACTTTAAACATTTTCGATCTTCTAATTACATAGCAGTTTTTTGATGATGCTTTGCGATTAACAAGAAATAAAGCATATTTTTAGTCAGCTTAGTCAGTGGCCTACCATCCTGTAATGGTTATAGTGGGTAACATTAACAAGAAAACAGTGTATGACGTCTTAGGGCGTACGCGGTAACAGAGATTTTATTGCGTTGCAGTTGGTGGATTCGGATGTGGAAGAGGGTACTTACAAACCTCTGGCGAGGCCTGAGGCGTTCAACCCTCCTTCGTTAGTGCATATGCAGATACAGGATGAGCAGAGCGACGAGGGGTCGCCGCGGGAGTCATCAGGGTCGGAATCTGATGATGAGCCGCGGCGCCGCGCCAAGCGGACCAAGCTGAGGCCACGCCGTCCTCCACCACAACCAGATAAGAAGGACAAGTACAACATTTGGTGCAAGGCTTTACAGGTACATGGTTTATATTATTATGGTATTTCTATTAAGGAGAATGACTTGTGAATTTGGATATTAATAAAATCAAGATGGTTTGTTCAGTTAAGATAAATATTAAGCATACTTTGTAACTGGACACTGCTAAAGATTTCTAACACTCTGAAAGCCTGTCAATGTATTAAACTATATTACACTCGTACAAATACACTTGAATGTTCTTATTTAGCTATAAAACTCCTCTCTGTTTGCAGGAAGACTTGTTAACAGAAGACATGGTGAGCTGTGATGTATCAAAGAAGAGCAGATATGGCGTCGAGTCTTATGATTATACTATTAAGTATAGATTAGATGATAACTTTATTAATAAGAAAAAAATATTCACTAATAACGATGACTATGATGATAGTGAACGAGTTTCTAATAAACGGAGACATGAGGATAGATCTAATGTGAAACTAAGGCTTGGGAAGCGAGATAGTAGTCACAATCGTAATGATAAACTGAAGCCTCGGATTCTGGGGGACCTGGTCGTTAGTGCGGAAGATACTGCGGAACATATAGCTGACGAAATAGCTAATAATTTGTCAGAAGATAAAAAGGATTTAGTTGGTATGTCTTATTAGATTTATGTAGCGTTTTATGGATATGGAATTGTCTGCCATTATCTTTTGTGTCACATAATTAATAGTACTATCTTACTAGTTATGTTGATAAACAGTATAAGTAGACGGTCCAAATTTGGTCTCTGCTTAGCAACAAAACTGTTGAACTTAGACTATTTAATTTTGTTTATACGATAGTTATCAGTATTTCTATTGCAGGTCGTATTGTACAAGTAGTTGGTGCTAACAAGGCTATAGAAATATATAAAGAAACACAAAAATTAGAGGCGGATGGTGGTATGCTTGTTATGGTAAGTCCAATTCAAGTAGTTTTATTTTAGGTGTTAGCAGGGGCACAATGTAAGTGCAACCATGTGCCCTTTTGTATCCTTTAGTATTTTTTATCTCATATCTTAACCTATTTGTGAATGTTTGTGTATAATAATAAATTTATTTCTTTTTATGCCAATGGGTTTTCGATGCCCTGTTGGTACTAGAGCATAAGCTTCGTATTATTATGACGCCATTAGGCCTCACAAACAATATTATCAAACTGTATGACCATAATATTGATTTATGATCTAGCAACCAACAGAACTCGTTGATATCGGCATAACTAACTCGCCTACCGCAACACGTAGCAACTGAAATATTAGCAATATAATATTATGTAAACTTTATGTTGCTACCTCTGTGTTGAGTGACGTTTTCTACACAAAATTTTCTGAAGTCCTAAAACAAATAAACGAGTCCACGTCCTAAAAGTTTTTAACCATACAATTAAATAATTCCTTTTAGAACGGTACGCGTCGCCGGACGCCAGGGGGCGTGTACTTCTTCCTACTGAAGCGTGACGGTGATGTGTCACAGGAGATGATCAACCAGATCTTCAACGAGGACCGCAAGGAGACGCAGCGCAAGATTAAGCGAGCGCGAGCCAAGAGCCGTCAGACTGTCATGGAACAGCTCAAACAGAGCCTCACAGGTAGTTTATACTATTTGTATCCCTTTGAGAAGGCAGAGAAAAGGAACTCCAAATGACAAGTTGCTGACATACCTTCATCTGTCATCAGTTTCTTTATGTGTGCTCGTCATATCCAAATATAGTTAACATGCCAAATCCTAATATGATTTATTTGTAAAATATCTAAAAGCATGCAATATTTGTTCTAGATTCGGAGCTGCCGTCGTTGTTATCACGTGGCGAGGCGACAGTGCAGTCGGAGCACGGCTCGAACCCGCCGCCGTCGCCCGCGACAGACGCGCGCGACTGCTCGAGCGATACAGACGCGCCATGCGATGCTCCGCCGCGCTCACCACGCGACTACGATGACGACGACTTCCTCGAAGTCATGTGTAACGATGACATGGACATGTTCTAGGCGTGGACCCGCCATATCCACGGACTCATTGTTCCAGCGAACTGCCAACATAGGTTAAGGTCGCCGGTAAATCCAAAGTTGTGTACTCGAATAAGCGCTTACCGGCTCGGTCCGCACTACAAGTGCCCGCGACCCGCCGACCACTACGATGACGCTGCATGGTGCTCATCTCTGCCCCATAAGAAGATCCTCGTTTTAATCCTAAGGGCGAGTGTATATGTAAGTCGTTTTAAGAGTGATACAGTTGACGATATATTATTTTTGTTGAATCCTACACATAACAATTGTATTGTAAACACAGGGAGATCTTTATCACAAATAGTATAAAGTAACCATCGGGTATAATTATGTATTAATTTGAAAGCTATTTAAAGTAGTCTAACAAGAACACTGAGAAGCCAGTTGTAGAGTCTGTTTCAATATAATTGTGCTTTAAGATTGAGTTTCCACTGGTACATGAACTACACTTATAATTTATTGCCAATTAGTTTGTAGATTGGACATTAAAATATTTGATGATGCACTATTTCCAACTATGCTTTCTCGTAACGACTTTCGTTACCCAAATACTATTTATATTTTCGTAGTAGTGCAGTATGTCTCCCAATCATGAGACGGTGGAATTAGGTCAGACTGACGACTGGGGCTGTCCGGCAGCTTGTTACTAACTTTTGTATTAGACGTAAGTATGTAAAACTGCCAATTTTTAAACGATTATAGTGTACTTTACTGGGGACGCTCAAGAGTTTGCTAAGTCTAATGGTGCGAAGAATTAACTTGGAAGTGTTCAGTTCCTGTGTCGAGTGCTTGCGTGTTGGAGTAATGTATGTTAGGATTGGCTCGTAGTATTACTAAAATATATGTTTACAAACAAAACGTAATATATTAACAAACATTATGAGAATGTGTAACTTTTGTAGTTTCTGCAATCAATGGACATTTTACGGGAGTTTAGTGACCATATCACCTTAGTTGTTTTCATGTTGCACTGAAGTTTTCAGTTGAAATATTATCACTAGATGTTAAAGTGTGGGTTTATAGGTAACTTCGTGAAATAGATGTTTGTTAGCTCACATACTGGTACCATTTCCTTTTAGACAAGTTCACAGTTTACCACTGGCATGAAGTAATCGTAGGGCATTTTAAACTTTCTATTATATTCCACTAATATTGCCAATAGGATTGAGTTTATAAGTCAAAACCATTTAACTATGTGATATTTAAATGCATGCATTTGTGTGGAAAGCGCCTAAATAAGTATAACGCTATTGATTCGATGGACTCTACCCTGTATGAAATATTTATTAAACATTCTTTGATCTCAAAAACTGAGGAGGAATTGGTTTTATATATAACTTTAGCAAACGTCAAACTTAGAGGTGCATACATACGATTCAATAATATATAATGATGTATAATATTATATTATAAAACCTGGGCATTATGGTGTTCATATCCGCCTATAAAATTATTTTTGTTACTAAATAAACTGATTGTCTCTGGTTCATTATTGAGCTGTTTAATAGCTGTAGAGGTAGACAATAAATAGCTAACTTTTCTTTTGTGGCAATATATTCTGGGAGTGTGGCAATACTACAAATTATTCAGCCAGTGTCTGCTGCACTCCTTGGTGATGCCTCCTTGCCTCAGAAAGCAGGTACAATAGGTACCTGTGTATGTTACAGGTATACCACAAGATTGTATGTAAATTGGCTAATTGGTCATATTCTAAGGTCAATTTCAAAAGTAGGATAAGCAAATAAGAATCTTGTTGGTCTAACTGTTTTATACAACTTGTGTATATTATAGATTGTTGTGTTATATCAATTACTATGTATGTATCGCCAAAATGTTGAAAAGGTCTGTGCGAATGTACTTGGGAGCTATTGACTGTCTTTTATACTGAAGATCATTGGAAGTGTTGTGATGTTGAAAATGTACAGTTATCTGAATGTTACTGATAGACAGACTCTCGGAAATAATTTGTATAATAAAATTGAGAAAAAATTTACTTTGTTTCAATCATTCACTTGATAAGTAGATGTTACAACCAGTGGGTTATATAACTGGGTAACCAGTGGGTTAACTATACCATTCCGAGCTTTGATTGATTCATCAGATGAGCTGCCATTCCCAATAAAAAAACCAGATAACTTCAGATGCAAACTTCTGAAGGGGAGTCCCTTCCAGCCAGGAGCCCGAGGCATTAGCCCTTCCCCTATACTTACAATACTTTTTGCTTTTTGCCAACTTGCCACCCTGTAGTTGCGGCACTTATTATGACTGCATTATATTTATGTAACTCTTACAAATAAGAAGCAATAAAACACGTCAATATAGTTAACTATAGGTTAAAATAGATTTTATTGCTTTCATCAATTATTAACAACCAAATGAATGAACAACAGCGTTAGATAACTCTTCTTAACACATAACTTTATAATTTATACATCTAGTGAACAGTTTACATGAAAATATTAAAAAATAGAGTCTTTTATATTACGCATGAAGCTAATACCTAGGGAGGTAGGAATGGGCAAAAGCTGCTTTTGTCATAGCAAGCAATAAGTACTACCTACTAAATAATTTTAAATACTTGTACTATTTGGAATTTCTGAGTATATCATGTTTATAAATAATACTGGGGGCTGTGATGTGTTGGTTTCTTTTAGGGGAAATCCAGCATCTGTAAAAGAAAAGCTGTTTTTTTAAATATTCTTAAAATTTGTATCTATTCTATAAAGGTTCCTTGTCATCCTATCAGCCACAAGATAGGTCTCTCCTAAGACTTTCAGATAGGTCAGTTGCAACCTGCATCTAGTAGCGCCCTGCGAGGCTGTAACCTGAATAATCTTGTATGTCTACTTTGTATGTAGATAGCTTATGCTGCTATAATAGCTATGAACCTATAAATAGGTAAATAAGATCCAACTCACCAGCTGAGGCAGGCACTTCTCAATGTGTTCGATATCGACTCTGTCGCAGCTCTCGCGCAGAGCGTGCGTGGACGCTCGCAGGCAGGTTTCGGTGACCAAACACTTAGCCACTTCCACCACCAAGGACAGAGCATCGTTACCCAACTTCGTCTTATTGTCTTGGAAGGATCCGTTCAGAAGTTCTTTTATAACATCCTAAACAGAAATAAATAAGCTATGTTTTACGAATGACTTTTTTCGGTCTATTGCAGTAATTATTTGGTAATATCGAAATTGTATAGCAATGTCATCAAATTATAAAATATTTCTATTAAAGGCTATTATGAACTTTACTTCTTAATTTTACTACAATTTAAGTCGCCCGAGTAATTATTATTAAGTAGTGCGCAATACGTACCTGTTTTATGGTATGCTTCACATTAGATGTTACGGACGCAGGATCAATACTGTCCTCGTCGTTCTCGTTGCTATTACGAGCCATTTTCAACGTATTATCACTCACAAATTTGGAAAATTATTAACAAATAAATCAATTTGTCGGAAGACAAAAACCTTTCACAAATAAATAATTGACCCGCCTAAAGCGACATTCCAATTCTTGTTTCTTACAGTTGTACGAAGTTTAGCTTAACCATTTTCTTGTTTTCTGTTTTTCAAGGCAATGTAAAGGAGTAATCAATAAGAATGATGTTCAAAATATCATTATCACAACGAAGGAACTGGAACGCACAAAACAATGACGTTTTGTGGTCCGTTTAGAAAATAGAAATAAAAAGATACTGGCCAGAGTTTTATAGTCCAAGAGTTTTATACAAAATACAGAAAAATCTTTATTTCATTAGCAAACTAATAAAATAAAATAAAAATGGAATCAGGAGTATTTTTTTCACCCCAACGTGAGAAATGTTTATTGAACCCCTCGCCTGGGGAAGACAAAAGGGACTCTTACAACATTATGACCGTTCCATGTCAATTTATTTATGAAAACATTATGTATGTTAGGAAAAACCTACAGTTATTTGGTAAAGTGTCGGACAGACACCACTATCAAACTAGACATAAGAATAGATTAAGTCAGCCAATTTCGAGATTAGCGAAAGTAAGTAAGTCGTTCATGGGATTCTGTGTTAAATGTTATAATAAGATACCAGGCGATGTACAACAACTAAATGAATCGAAATTTAAATTATGTATAAAGAAAACTTTATGTAGACAAGCATATTACAAACTTAATGAATATATACAGGATAAAAATGCTTGGATGCAGGCTAGTCCTGCTCCACAGGATAACTAAAAACACTTGTTTTAATGAAATCGTAAATAATACAGCCATATTGCTAAATTGTATATTGTTTAACTTAGATAACCATTGTAAATGTGAGAGCCCTGTAATTAACTTAATATTAAATTAGATTAGTAGATTTCATTTGTGTCAGCTTGGAGTTGTCATGCTCACTCAAAGGTCTCATTGGCGGTGGCGCGTGCAGTGGATCGCTCGATTCCCTACAATATGGTTGAGTTGGGCGGTGCTGGTGTACGTGTCATGTTCGTGAACGGGCGCCGTCAACTGGGACTGGTCAGCTCCAGACTGTATTACTGTCCTTAAGGTTATTTTCTTTTTTGATCACTTTAACTGGATTTTAGTGTTACATTGTTCTCGCACAATCCAAACAGCAAAACTATGTAACTAGTAAATGGTATTGTGAACCTGATTGAAAAAGAGTAACCTATGGAGTTTCTTGCTCGTTCTTCTCCATAGGAATCTACGCCTTGGAATGAGCAAATAGCTTCACTTTAAATTTTTGTTTTTGTTGACGTTCAAAAGTGCCATTCTGGCCTAATTGAAATAAATGATTTTGACTTTGACTTTGACTCTCAGACTCTTGCTGATTAAAACCCACCGCTGTGGTGTCCCGTCTCACACGTGAGAACGAGGGTGCAGGAGTCAGATTCCTCTGCTGCCTGCCTCAAGATGCACAGAGGAGTGAGATGTTATCTCCTCCGTGCTACGTCTCGGAGGCGCGCGTGAACACAACGCTTCCCGTCTCGGGTCCTTTAAAACGGGATAAGGGGACTTCCCCAAGTCCGCCGTCCCCGGACCTATTTAGGGGGGTCGCAAGAGAGCAATTTCTGCTCTCCTTCGACACCCAGTGAGTGCGCCTACTGCGGGAAGGTAGAGAAGTTGTGATTTTCCTTTCCTACTCCGCAGGCTCCTTCCACGGGATCGGGAGGCTAAAATAAATTATACTTTTATGGTTTGTTCAACGGTCTACACCGAAATGATTATGAGACAAGGCCGGAGCAGCCTTGGCGTGGAATGCATTGGTTAAAAAATCTTGGCATTCTTTAAAAAATCTTAATTGTTAGGAAATTTATGTTTGTTGTTGCCATGGGCGGGGTCACTAGAAAAATAAATTTGGGAAGAATAAATACAAAATTCACAGTTAATCAGCCTTTATTTGAATTTTAATAAAAAATCGTATAGATTTCACTGATTAAATCAACGCCGGGTACACTCAAATATAAGGATTTAAAACTCAAAATATTATACAACCAAATTATAAAACATTGTCTTCATAGATGGCACTATCAATATAGTAAATACATAAAATATATTCACGTAAATGTATACTACATTATAATCCTACAATAAAAAATATTATTGTTCAAATAATCGCCACAACGCCACTTAATTTTAAGACAATTTGATAATCAGATTTAGAAGAAAGAAGTAAAAACATAAAAATTGTATTTTCTGATATAAAACAATATTTCAGGATAAAAACTTAAAATTGAATAGCATTTCAGTATTCAGGCACTCATGATTTCAATACTTGCAATTTGTACTAATATTCATGCTGCAATATATTGTGTCCCGGCAATAACTCAGCAGAGTTGTAACAGATACAGCATCCGAGTTGTAATTTCATCCTTAGTTTTGTCTGTCAAACTCTCAGCGATCAAGTTGACAATATCTTTCTCATTAAATATTTCTAGAATGGTCTTATCTTGTCTTTCTTCTGGAGACAGATGTTCCTTTAATATTTCTAATATTAATTTGTCTTCGTCTCTTTTCCATTCCGGCCTCTCAATCTTCACTCCTCCCTCATCGTACGAGAGCCTTATAGAAGAGTTGGAACTGTCGTTGAAGTCCTGTACTTCAGTTTTGCTGACAGTGACCACGAGTGCTACATTCTGATTCTCCGATGTTGGTGTTACATACTGTGTTGTTTCTTCGCTCTCCTGTAATGAAAGCAATGATAATTTAACATATTTTTACGCCATCTTTGCCAAATGAGATTTTGGTAAATTGTATAAAAATAGGTGAATAGACTAGCTAAAACTTTGAATTAGACCACTGACACCCACGATAAGTTCGCTAAATTCCTAGTTGATAAAAATAGAAACTAATGCTTCAAATAGAGATTATACAAAATCAATAATAAATATTTAGGCCATCAATTAAAAAATAAAAACTACGTACAATTTTAATAGGTATATGCCGAATGACGTTGCTGTTTAATTCGGGAACGCTTGTGTTGTCGCAATTGTCGTCTTGGTCACTGCAAACATAGTAAAACAATGCTTTACAATAATTTATCTATAAATTGTCATTAATTGTTTGAAATATAAAAGATAAGAGAAACAGAAAAAATAACATAAAATAACTTTACATAACATCACGCCTTTATCCCCGAAGGGGTAGGCAGAGGTGCACACAGAAGTAACACCCACTTTTCACTATTTATGTTATGAGTCCCATGTAATAGGGGGTCAGCCTATTGCCATATACCGGGCACAATTCCAGACTCGGTGCTACTACTGAGATTTTTTTTTAAACCCAGTATTACTTTGCCCGACCCCTGTCTCGAATCGAATCCGAGACCCCTTGGCAGTCACACTTGCGACCACTCGGCCAACGAGGCAGTCGAGATTCAAGATTCAACTACTCGTACAATAAAATAGTCTGAAATTAGCTATATGCCCACATTGATGGTCAGCGCCCATGGGCATCCGCAATAAGATGTTATTTTAAATCCCGCATTAGTAATTACTAAGTTGGTTGAAACAAGTTCGTTAGCTTTATCTACAGTATAATTTAGTCTCACCTCATAGACTGGTCAGCCTCGTAGTTGGTGGTGTTGTTCTCCGCGACCATGCTGTCTTCACGCATGGTCTCCTCTGGCGTTGTGTTTGCAGGAAGCGAGGGATCTGTCTGAGCTGGTAACGTTGGTTCATCTGACCTGGATGAATTAAATAGAGTGGGGTAAATAAAGTGGTTTTTTTGGTATCTGTCCTGGTGGCCCGGAGGTTTAAGACGCCCGCTTCTCATGCATGAGGGTGCGGGTTCGAAACCTACCAACGGCAAGTAGCAATGTGACTTTTTCCGAATTATATGTACTTTCTAACATTATTCAGACACCACTGACAAACGGTGAAGGAAAACATCGTGAGGAAACCTGGGCTTATAATTTCTAATTATAAGTTTGTAATCGCCAACCCGCATTGAGCAAGCGTGGTGATTAATGCTCAAACCTTCTCCGTGTGAGAAGAGGCTTTGCTCAGCAGTGGGCATTTATAGGCTGTTGATGGTGTAGCTACGAACATGAAAACGTCGAAACAATGAAGTTCGGCGCGTCAGAAGGACATGAATAACTGTCGTGGATCCCTTGACTTTCCTCCTTTCTTGTCCTCTAATGGGGGGGGGGGGGGAGAGTAGAAGTTATTATGCCTGGTGGTAAAACACTATAAATAGATAACTTACGTGTCATTCCGATGTGGAAACAGAGAGTACACATGTCTCGCTAGGTCTGGGTGCCCGTGCAGTGTGCCAAGTATCCCAGTACATATTTCGCAGGCAGTCGACAAGCTCTTTACAAACACTTTGTTTATCTCCGTCAATATCGTATGTCTTGTCTCCAAATCTGCTACTTGCTCCTAAAACATAATATTGTCAGTTGACATAACATAACATCACGCCTTTTATCCCCGAAGGGGTAGGCAGAGGTGCACATTATGCCACTGTACAGTGTAACACCCACTTTTCACTATTTATGTTATGAGTCCCATGTAATAGGGGGTGAGCCTATTGCCATATACCGGGCACAATTCCAGACTCCGTGCTACTACTGAGAATTTTTTAAAAACCTAGTAATACTTTGCCCGACCTGGGAATCGAACCCGAGACCCCTTGCCCGGCAGTCGCACTTGCGACCACTCGGCCAACGAGGCAGTCTACTGTTGAACTTACTATAACATATATTATTTGAGGATGCAACCGTAATTCATGTGTTATGAGTCCCCGTGTAACTTGAAACTAGTTGAGCACATTCGAACAGTTTAATCAATTTAATGTCAGATGATATAAATAATTATTTTATGACTTACAATGAAGTATTTTAAAACTATAAAATGACTTTAAATATATTTTTTTGCGACCAGCCCGCCACAAACTCCCAATACCGCTGCAACTACAACTCCTGTAAGCCAGGATCTACAGTAGATACAACCATGAAAACACCGGAACATTGAATTCCGGCGCGTCTCAGGGACATGAATAACTGTCTTGGTTTCCGCAACGAAATAATTCAGAAGATATTCTAAGAGGAGAATATAGGAGCAAAAATATGATAGTTTAGTATGATTTTTATCCATGAATTTGCAAGATAGTTATCCTAGTTATTATACAAAAACAATAATATTACGAAAGGGTCGCTCACCTCAACCTTCTCAACCAACTTCATCAAACAATTGCTAATAAAATAATCCTTGAAGGCGTTGATTCTATCAGCCTGTTCGGGTGTCAGGAACCCGACGAATTCTTTGTAGAGGTCAAGTAATTCGCTTCCTAAGACTTTGTCCATATTAATGGCGAGTTCTACAGGGTCACTCTCATTTAGATTGAACTTATATATCAGCTTGTACACCTTCCTCTTTATGCTTGGGTTGCGCGCCACTGAAGTCCGTATTAGCAAGTTTAATTGGAATTTTGTTGCGGCAACTGTAAAATAAATGTTCATGTTTATTGAAAATCGGAGAGTCGGAAAACGCCAGGGTAAAGTATAAATCCATTGTTGCTTGACTGGTCGCGTTTTTCCAAGTGCAACTATTTAATTTATATTCGACTTAGAAATGATTAGTTTTACAGAAATATTGAATTACTTTACATTTTTAACATAACATTTGCAAGCGCAGTATCGCGCAGTAATCAACTGCTCCAGGCTGATGTTGCATGAATAACATGTAAACAATAATGATTAAAATTGTAAAAACTATTTCTTTTTGTCGGCGTTTCGTTTACACCCTGTATAATAACTAATAAGTAGGTACTAAAGACCTCAGTCTAGAGTATTTTAAATAGTTTTAACATTATAAAGAAACTTACCAACATCATCAATATCATTATAACTATTATCACAATCCAGTTGTATATTCTTATCTTTGGCTTGAAGCAAGCTTTGTAACTTATACTGAAGAACCTGCATAGCGTGGAAACGCGTATACTTCATAGCCTTCACTAACAATTTCAACTTATTCGATACTTTAGGGTATTCCTTATTCTTACAATCACATTTTGGCTGCATTTTCTTGCCAAAGTATTCTGTTATGTGTGTCTGTCTTTGTTTACAGATTTTTCTTAACATAATGCAACAAGTGCAGTGGTCAGGAACCTCCCTTCTTTGTATACTTCTCGAAGGTGCTGTGGTAGGATTAGGATTGATTTCAGCTGTAGTAGCAACTGATTGAATTGAATTAACCGTGTATGTGCTTGTTGTTGAAGGTATAAGAACGAGGCAAGGACCTGTATTAGTTTCCATGAACTTGTATAAATGATTATATAACTTTGGTTCGTCTGATTTCTGCGTTATTTGTATGTCGTATTTTTCCTGTGGCGGCGCTAGTGTCGCATTATCTCCTGCGCAGTTAGTGACTATTTTGTTCGTGAAGTCTATTGGTAGTGGTTCCTTAGTGGGCGGGGTTAGCACATGTCCTAAGTTGATCTCGACCCCCGCGGCAGGCACTCCTGTAGTTTGCGTTCGTTTCATCAAATAACTCTGAAACATTAAACTTTTGTTGACTTCTTGTCGGATAAATGAGGTACCAGTATCGATCGAAGGGTTTTGCATAGTAGGTACCTATTATTTATTGTGTATTAATTTTGATTTGAATTTGTCATTCATATCAAATAAATTAGTGTGAGTAAATATTCCTTGAGTTTAGAAAAACCCAGCCGTTTATTTAAGAATAAATTGTTTTAATGGTATTTCGTTTTTCGTTAGTATTATTTCCTTTTCAGTGTGTCATTATCAAAGAAAACATTATGTTAATATTACAGTATACTAGTTGACTCACCCGGAACCGCTTACTAGTCTTGGCGAGATATCGCAGCCATATACGTGGGACCTCATGTTCAGGGTGCTCGTACAGCGACATCTGTGGACTGAACGGGAGCAACTTGTGCTGCACTGGACGAACTATTCCGGTCGTCAGGTATTGCTGAAAAAGGATTTATTATTGTTAACATGATTCAATAAATAACCTCCTCCTTTTTTGTAAGTCGGCTAAAAAAATCTTGTAAAAAGAATGTATAGTAAGAAGTAGACGGTTAAATTTAGCGCTTGTCTACATGTAGAATAGAAAACCAAATTATATGGAATTGACGTAAATTTTGACACTTGTCAGTGTCATCCCCATACATTTAGTTTTCTAGTCTCTAAGTAGACAAGCGTTAAAGTGGCGTTAGGCTAAAGGTACAGGGCCTTTAGTCAAACGCCACTTTAACACAGCTACACATTAACTTTGCATAACCAGTATAAAGCAGCAGTACCAGTATGAGCTTTGAACGGTCGGAAAGATTATACAAAGCGAAAAAATGACAATTGGTTTTGTTTAGCTCGCTACGTTATATCACTGTAAGAGTGCCAACTGAAAACCAGTGTACCCAGTGTACCTACTGTGCCCAGCTCATACTGAGTTGGCAAGTCCTTTTGTCATGGGCTTGTTGTTCGTTTTATATTTTTTTTGTTGTTGTTTCATTGTTTTCTATTGTTATTTTATGTTTGCGTATTTGCTCCATCATGCTTAACCCTTTGAGTACCGTCATTATAGACACAATTAAAGAACAATAGGTTGCGGTCACCGGTGTCCTCGCGGTGTTTGACAGTTTAATGGCAAATCAATTAGTTTTTTCTCTTTCTAGTTTTTTCTCTTTCTTTCTAGATAGCAAACGGTACAGTTGTGCCTACTTTTAGTATTGAAATACATGTGAATATCGTACGTAGATGGGGTTGTCCTTGTCCTGAGCGCGACGCACGTAGTTGACGTGCGCCAGTAGCTGCGCGGGCGGCAGCCACGGCAGCAGGTGGCGCGCCAGCAGGCGCAGCGCGGCCGCCAGCCCCGCGCGCCCCGCGCGGCGCGCCACGGAGCTCTTCACCGTCGAGTGGAACTGCTCCAGGCCCAGGGCTATCAATCTGTGGGTGTAGTTTACAAATGTACAATACAACTTGCTTCAAACTAGTTGCGTAACTCAATTCATTAAACAGTCAAGTGAGCAAGCTTATAAACAATCCAATACTTGTACTAAAAAAATCTGAAAACATAACATTTTGCTTATTCTTATCCAGATAGACTTCACCGTGACTTCGTAAAACCAGGGAGCTTACGTTTAAATCCAATTCCGATCGATTAACATTGTGAAATTCCGTACTCTTGAACGCTACTTTAACAGCTACGATAAGAGTTGTATAGTTTTGACATTGAATAATTATTGAGATTTTATTGGATTGAAATTGCTTTGACATTGGTTTCAAGAGTAAGCACCCTGATCAAATAATTTATAAATATTAATTAATATTATTTTAAACGTAGTACATAGTTTTACAAATAAATAACTCACGCGTCTTCCGAATAGAGATAACAGAACCGCTTGGAGGAGTGTTCCCCGCGGAATGGCATGGCAGGCAGTAAGTACGGGTACAGGAACACCGGACTGTTCGACACTACCTTCAGGAACGTCTCGTGGAACTCGCCCACGTACAGCTTCTTGTTTAGACAACGATGGCGGCTGGAATAAATTTATGACATAACTCACACACACACACATACACACACACGCACATCGATTTATTCATGTACTCTCACAAAAAACAAATACAAATCAATTACTTTTAACATGTCATACCGTTCTACCATAGTTTTTATATTTATAACTTTCCTTTTTTATTATTATTATTATTTTACTATATCTGCTGTAAATTTTGTTGTTTTCCTTTAATTAGCAGACTTGGAAGTTATTTTTCTTAAGAGTGTTAATTAAATAAAGAAAGGATCGAGTCAGTCCCAACACAAGTATTGTATAATAACTTACTGGGACTGCCTCAATGTTAGACAGATAGTGTAATTCTTAAGATAATAAAGAATTTTGAATTTTGAACTATAGCAAGGTAGTGCTAATCCATCTCATTCTTTAAGCCAAGGATACACTACGAGACAAATGTCCCACATGTCCCACGACATGTATCGGCGACATGTCAAGCTAAGCCGACTTCGCCCAATATACAAGGTGTAGTTTTGAAACCGTGACATTTCTCGGTGGCATGTCACAGAAGGCATAAAGGTTCAAAGTAAGAAAAAGTTTCGAGCCAATAGTTAAAAATTCGGCTATAATAAATCGTTAAAGTTCAACAGTATTTCAGAATAAGCGACAGCAATGTTTCTTATTGGAGTTTTATGGAATTTTACGTGTTTGAGTTTGTGTGTGTTAAGCCGTGTTATAAAGCTAGTTACAAGACGGCGGCGTGTAGTTCGCACTTACGAATTTCCGTAATATACAGAAAAATTAAAAATATTTACCTACAATTTTTTATTGATTCGGACTCCGAATCGATAGCCGAGTTACCTCCTAGAAAATGACGCGGCTTTAAAACGACACCTTGTATTATAAGACAACAACGCGCGCCTTACTTCCACAGCGACGTTGATGTTGCTAGACAAGTCGACAAAAGTCCTACGTCGCGCTACTTCACCCGACGTCGCTAGCGTCACGTGTCGCAGGCCATTTGTTCCCTAGTGTATCCTTGCTTATTTCCCCTATACTTTAGTCCCCGTTAAGCGATTTTAAGCCTTATTGCAGTTGCCAAAAACGAAATTTCACTTACCTTCTCTCGCATTGCTTTTGAATGAATCTGAAAAAACAGGTATCGAAAATTAGTATTCTTCATTTAATAAATAGAAAATATCTGATTCCCGTTTAGGCAAAGAAATATTTGTATTTCTTTGATTTTTCCATAATACCAGCAGCAAGGAAATTAGAAGCTTTATAATCGTATTTCGACTTCGTATTCGGTAGTATTCAGAACAGAAACATTTATTATGTTATTTGATTTTAAATTTTCAAGAAATAACGACATTTAATTTTACTGAAGTCATTATTTTAATTTTAACTCATTATATATTTTATTGATTTTAAATTGGAACTGTTAAGAATGCGAGTTGTGTATTTAAGTCATTAACGTTCAAATATTCAAACGGTTTCAAAAATTCGCCCTGAAGTATAGTTCCGTCACGTTCATCGTCAAATGCTTTGTAAAATGACAGTTATGGCGCGATATTTAAGTACAATTTAAAATTGAGAAGCCTTACAGCCAAAACCATAGTATACTAATAGGGGCACCTAAGATTGAATCAGTCACCTTCCAAATCCATCGTCTAATCAGCTCGATGGTACCATAATATTGTATGGTAATTTTCATAATATATTAATTCCGAAATTTCATTGTTATGAAATTTCGGAATTAATTTAGTTCTAATTCAATTAATTAATTTAGTTCTGGAAATAATTAATTGAACTAAATTTTTAACTAAATTAGGTCGCGTAGGCGCGCAACGTGTCGCGGGTTCGATTCTTGCACGGTACAACTCTTTGTGCGATCCACAGATTGTTGTTCCGAGTCTGAGTGTCGTGTGTATATGAACTTGTATGTTTGTAAACTCACCCACGACTCTGGAGAAAATCCTAGGGTGGGGCAACGTTTACAAAAAAAAAGAAAAAAATATGTATAATATTATATTTTGTATCCTTACTAATATTATAAATTGGAAAGTGAGTTTGTTTGTTTGTTCCGCTTTCACGCCGTAACTACTAAACCGGTTGCTTTGAATTTTTGCAGACGTAAAGTTAGAAATCCGGATTAAATAATAGGGTACTTTTTATCCCGTAAAATTTTGATATTCCCGAGGGAAAACAAAAGTATTGGTATAGATGGCGCTGTGTGTATTGGTATATGTCACAGGCTACTTTTTATCTTTTTGTAACGCGAGCGAAGCCGCGGGTAAAAACTAGTAATACAATATTGTGTAAATTGGGCCTCCAGTAACTTCGCCCACACGACGAAACACAACGCAAGCGTTGCATCACGGGTTTCAGTGAGGCCGTGGTATCACTCCAGTCGAGCCGGGTCTTTACTAATAGAACCGTTTTAAACGAATGTTATAGTTACTTACTCAATCATCTCCCTGTTCTCAGGCGTGTTCTCGGACATGGTGGTCTGCCACGTGTTCACTAAATCTAACGCCGGCTTCAAGTTGCACACGTTCGCCACAGACTTCGGATTCGAATCCACCATCTTTGAAAACGTTTCCTGCAAAATAAATATTAATTATACATAACATCACGCCTTTTATCCCCGAAGGGGTAGACAGAGGTGCACGTTACGGCACTTAATGCCACTGTACAATTTTTTACTATTTATGTTATGAGTCCCGTGTAATAGGGGGTGAGCCTATTGCCATATACCGGGCACAATTCCAGACTCCATGCTACTACTGAGGTTTTTACAAACCCAGTAATACTTTGCCCTACCCGAGACCCCTTGCCGGCAGTCGCACTTGCGACCATTCGTCCAATGAGGCAAATATTTTATGAAATCCAAACTAAGCTGAATTAAAGTAAAGCATGCTTCGACCTTCGAAGCGAGGGATCTCGGGGTTTTCGTCCAATAGTGAATTAGCTAGTTCGTTCGATATTTGATAGCTGCAGTGATTGGACAAAAAGACTTCTAGCTAGATTGGTTTTTTCGGTTTTTTCATATATTTTTTAATATTTATCTGGAATTTAAAAGAGATGGACCTCTGAGTTTGTTTCACCATTTCTTCTCAAAATAGATAGAAAATGTCAGTCTCATCTAGATTTTTTTTTAAATTGTCGTGTAATAGTGGCCTTGTAGCCTATTTGAAAAAATATATTTAAGCTAAGGATAGTCTAGGGGACAAATGTCTTAAGACGTGTATCGGCGTCATGTCGACCGAAGCCGGCCGATGTCGCATGCCATATACGACGACAACGCGCGCCTTATGTCTACAGCGACGTCGATGCTGCTAGACAAGTCGACCAAAGTCCGGCAACGTCGCGCTACTTCACCCAACGTCGCTGGCGACACGTGTCGCAGGCCATTTGTCTCTTTAGTGTATCCTATAAAATATAAATATATGTGAAGCAACGCTTGCGTTGTGTTTCGCTGTGTGAGTGAGGTTACCGGAGGCCCAATTACCCTCCCCTTCCCCAATCTCCCCAATCCCTGAATCCCCAACGATCCTCAAACTCCTAATCCCCAAAAAGCCGGTGACGCACTTGTAACGCCTCTGGTGTTCCAGGTGTCCATGGGCGACGCCGATTGCTTACCATCAGGTGATCCGTCTGCTCGTTTACCGGCTTATGCCATTAAAAAACCTTCACTTGTTTCACGGCGGAATACAACAGTTATCCTAAGACTTACTAGGTACTCCCTATATTTAGCGGCGTACCCCCAGTGTATGGGATGCACATACAGCTGTAGGAAGCTGGAGGCGGCCAGCTGCACGTGCTGACGTAACTGTTGCTGCAGGAGCTGGACCTGCTCCGGTAACACCTGCAAGAGATATAACAGATATATTAATTCAAATACACGACTTAGGGTGTTAATCGACCAATTGCTTCGGTCAACGTTGATCGGGCGGCGTTCAGCCGATGACAATGGTGAGCTCAGGCTTGATCAAATTGAGTTCCTATGGAGTGATCGTCGATCGAGAATTAATCGATTGGTCTGGTAGAAACTATCAATGTCGACTTATCCATTTTACGATCGATCGAGGATCTATCGGTGTGGTAACTCTCTTACTCACGTCAGCTATTCAAGAAAAGCTCTACCAGTTACAAGTCAGACCGGGATTCTTATTTATAAGTAGCATGAGCGACGCTAAAGTTATTGGTAAGTGACATTTTGTAACATTTATGGTTAAAAAGTGCAGTTTCGCTCTAAAGCTTACAAGAATATAAAGGCGATCCGACATATTGGCGAACGAATTGGGCCAGCACATTGAGCCAACGCCAACATGCCTTTTTGGCACTATGTTGGTCGTTGGGTCCAACATTGGCGTCAAAATCAGTTTGTTGTCATTTGTCAGTAAGACGGTTCTGTCACGTGTGTGTTGTTGTTCTCTAATTACAACGGCTGAACAAACACTGAGAATTAAAATGTTTTATAAACATTGGCCCAATACCTTGGTCAATATAGCGAAATGTATTGGAAAGTTTAGTATAAGTTAGACTTACACACTCCCCGGGCTGGATGTGAATCTGTATGACCTCGGTCCGCTGTACCGTCTTGAGGTTTTTCTTCAGCAGTAGTGGAGCGCTGGCAGACAGTATTGGTATCTCCACTTCCTCTATACTGGCGTTCAGAATCATCTCACTGGGGATAAACATCATCATTTAAACGCGCTGATCTCCAGAACTACTGGATCGAATTTGAAAATTATTTTCGTGATCGAGGAAAGTTAAATGCTATAAAGACGGTCTATGCTCTGCGGTCAAAAAGAACTGAGCAATTGGTAGAATGGTGCATTATCTATATGATCGATCTATGTAATCGAGTATGGCTTAACATCAAGCTATATAAAACCAGTTATCATGGTCACGCTTTATTTTTTTTATGGGATAACTCTGTAAACGAGCAGATGGAACAGCTCGTTTCAGGTTGAAGGCTCGTTTATCAGGTTGATGGTAAGCAATCGGCGTCGCCTATGGACATTTGAGGCGTTACAAGTGTGTTACCGGCCTTTTGGGGATTACGAATTTGAAGAGTGTGCTTTACCCAGGCCAGATGTTGTCGAAAATGGTCATTTGAATCTTATAGATAACTAGCTTCTGCCCGTGACTTCGTCCGCGTGGAATAGTGACTTCCGCCAGATTTTTGGTTTTAGCCATGTAGTTACTGTTCTCGCGGGATTTTCGGAAGGTTCCCGTTCCCGCGGAATTTTCGGTTTCGGGAAGATGGTTTTTTTAAACGTAGTTTATTAACTAAATGTTATGAAGTTTTTTAAGAAAATTAAATTATTTTAAAGAAAGAAGTTCTAAGTGGCTAAATAACACCGCACGCATCAAGACCGTGCTCGTGAAGAACTCAATATCATAATAACTTGTTAAATAGGTACTTACAGTATACTAATGAAACATCACTTACTTTTGAAGGCAGTTACAAGCTTCAAAATAACGTTTGAAGTCTTTAGAGCTCTTATTGAGGGTGCTAGGACTAATTGAAGTGTAAATAACCTTTAAGCTATGTATTATTTTGGATTTTTTATTGCAGAACAAATGTAAACTAATTGCTAAGAAGCCATGTACAAAATATGATAAGAATCCGCTTAACCATGTTAAAGACCTAGCAAAACCAAAAACGTTACCCCAGGAAAATCTCGAATAACTTCGCAACTGATGGAAGAACAAATACAAAATAAGGCACAACATTTACCTTATCTAGACAACTAATTTTATAGCTAGTAGTTATTTAAATATTCCCATTAGAAAGAAAAAGGTCTGGCTGGGGTAACGCTACCCCAGAAGGAAATATTATTGTGAAATAATTAAAAATCTATAAGCGCAACAAATTTAAAAATATGCGCAACAATTACAGAAGCTGCAAAACGAATTATCAATAAGATTCAAATGACCATTTTCGACAACATCTAGCCTGGGTAACGCACACATTTGAGGATTATTGGGGATTCATGGTAATTGGGACTACGGTAAACACACTCACACGACGAAACAACGCAAGCGTTGTTTCACGTCAGTTTTCTTCTCGGCCGTGGTATCACTCCGGTCGAGCCGACCCATTCGTGCCGAAGCATGGCTCTCACACACTTAAAAATCTTTGTATGATCTTACCGTACATACGACAGTCAGTTTATGTTGGTTTTGCATAGTTTGATGAGTACCAAGTAAAAATGTTACTTACCCAGTTGGTTTAGGAGCTATATTTACGTTCTTTGGCTTGGCTTTGTCTCCCGTCTCGCTTTGCATTGGTTCTTTCTTTCCAATGGATACTTTACAGTACTTTTTCTTCTCAAAAGTGATCTTGTCTGATAGCTTCTGTCTGTTTGTACTATCATCGTCTGAGTGTGGCTCTTGCTTGCCTTCCCAGCGGCCGGACATCTGGTTATAAAGAAGGATTAGTAGTTTTTTTTTTATATTTAATGGACCGACGTTTAACCACTATAGTTAGACACACAATGTAATACGGGCTGAGACCTATTGCCATATACCGACCACATTCCAGACTCCGTGTTGCTACTGAGAATATTTTAAAGCCTAGGAATACTTTGCCCGCATCGGGAATCGGACCGTAGACCCCTTGCGCAGCAGTCGCACTTGTGATCACTCGGCCAACGAGGCAGTCATAAATTAGTAATAATAAAAATTAAGTGGGCTACTTTAGATATACGTACCGCTCCCTGACTATGGTCAGTGAAGACACCGTTACTGAGGTTGTCAGCCATGAGTACCTCGTCCGCAGTGGGCTCCGGCATCACATTAAACAGCTCCGTGATCAGATCGTTCAGCTCCTTCTTTGAAATCTTTATTATACTCTGTCCCAGGGCTTCCTCATCTTCATCTTCTGTAAATGAAAATAATATGTAATCACTAGCCGACTACCTTACTAATATTTTTCTGTAAGTTTGTTTGTTTGTTTGTTTGTGTGTGTGTATGTTTGTTACTCAATCACGTCAAAACGGATGAACAGACAGACAGACAGACAAAAATTTTTAATTAAGTATTAATTTTAGTATGGGTATATGGGTAGACGGACATATAGTGACCATAGTGACCAGATTGGCTGTATATTAAAGAAGGGCCAAATTAAAAGTACCCTCAACCGACGAGCATGCATAAAAAGATTGATGACTGTTAATGAAGCGAAAGAGGTATGTAAGAATCGTAGTAATTGGCGTTCCTTAGTCTCTGTCTACCCCCATGGGAGACAGGCGTGAAGTTATGTATGTATGTATCGTATGTATATTCATATGCATGAAGTAAAAAGCGGTTATTTTAATATTACAAACATACACTCCAATTTTATTTATCTGTATGGATTAGCTACTCCTGCGCGGCTTCATTCACTGCTTGGCCCCTATTTATCGTAGCATGACATTTTATAGAGTATCCAACACAAAAGGAATGGTTCAATTCAAACCAGTATTTAGGAGATTAACAGGTTCGAACAATGACTTCTGCTTTTTAAAATTAGAATACATGAAAATCGACTCACGCGCATCGGGATCAGCGGCGACATTATACTCAGGATCGGTCTCATCATCGTCTTCGTTCTTGGAAGTAGATGCTGGATTTAGGCACTCGTTTAAGAACTGATTCCAAAGATCGTCCACTGCCGGCATTGGGATATCGTCGGGTGGGACGAAGTTGCGTTCTATATGCTCTATGGATGTTGAAGACAGACTGAGTTTAGAACGAGTTCTTAGTGCTATTGTTGCTTCTTCTTCCAAGTCCAGTTTTCTACGGGCAGGTGTTGTGATGTCCTGTTGGGTAAGATAAATTTTAAATGATTCTTTTAAATGTATGTTTGTAATTTTAAATGTATTAAAATTATAAAGGTTAATATTGTTTTTACTAGCTTTTATTTAATTTGCAATGTAACGGCAATAGGAACATCCACGTTACACAATTTCAGTTATGAGTCCCACGTAATGGGGGTGAGCCTATTGTCATATACCGGGCACAATTCCAGACTTCGTGCTACTACTGAGATATTTTCAAAAAATCCAGTAGGAGGAGGACTTCTTGCCCAACAGTGGCACTTGCGATCACGCGGCCAACGAGTGTGCGTTACCCAGTCCAGATGTTGTCGAAACATTATTTGGTCATTTGAATCTTATCGATAATTAGTTTTACGGATTCTGTAATTGTTGCGCACATTTCTAAATTTGTTGCGCTTATAGTTTTTTAATTATTTTACAAAAACATTTCCTGCTGGGATAACGTTACCCCAGTCAGACCTTTTTCTTACTAACGAGAATATTTAAATAATTACTAGCTATAACAACAAACACAAAATTAGGCACAACATTTACTTCATCTAGACAACTAATTTTATAGCTAGTAATTATTTAAATATTCCCATTAGAAAGAAAAAGGTCTGGCTGGGGTAACGTTACCCCAGCAGGAAATGTTTTTGTGAAATAATTAAAAAAACTATAAGCGCAAGAAATTTAAAAATGTGCGCAACAATTACAGAAGCTGCAAAACGAATTATCTATAAGATTCAAATGACCATTTTCGACAACATCTGGCCTGGGTAACGCACACGGCCAACGAAGCTGTATTAAAGCTTGTGTTTTTAATACCTCGATCTATAGCTGTGTGTACATAAATTATACGTACCTGCGGTACTTTAAAAGGTCCATCTTTGACAACTTTAGGACTAGCAGCATGTTGGCTGTGCGGTGTCGCTGGCGTCCTCGGCTGGGAGTCCAGGTCACTGCATGACTCCAAGCCTTGATCATCATCGCTCTGGAGATGGGAAAATATCATTAATATAGAATTTATATGTTTATAAACGCATTCACAACACATAAAAAATAGTATCTAGGGAATTTAAGAACCTTCAGATTTAGCAAAATTTTACAATTAACCCCTCAAGCGTCCTTATGAACACCCGGTGGATCATAAGAAAAAATGCTCCATGCTGCTTTCTCTTTTATAAAATGTATTATTAATGTTTTCTTTTTATTTTGACTGTATTTTTTATTTCTATTGTAATAATCCTTGTTTTCGTGTGCCAATGGCCAAATCAATGCATTTTCTTTCTTTCTCTCTCCAAATGACACGTGTGCACCCGTTGGATCATAAGGAACGCGGACGCTCGACGGGTTAAGTTTGATAAAGCATAATGTCTAAGGGCCGATTTTTCCAACGCCAAATAAATTTTAAGTGAGGAATAACTTTGAACTTTTGTCATTTACATATTTACATTCTTGTATACTAAAAACTGTCTTGTTTGTTCTACGGTTAAAATTAAGTGATAATTGAAAAATCGGCCCATAAGTCAATTTAAAATAGTAGTAAAATGTAGTTTACACATACAGGGACATCATCATGGGTGGGTTCATATTCCTCATCATCTTCGTCTTCCGGCAACTCCTGGGCGATGAGGGCCTTCACTTCAGGCCTGGTCTTCACAGGAATGTGCTTGATCGGAGTCAGCTCCAGATTCTCCAAGTTCCATGTTGTTGTTGTCTTAGGGGACACTTTCATTAGTTCCCTGAAAAGTAAAATATAATATTACAAACTTAAAATTTAATAGTAATAGTAGACAGCAGTCCCAAAAAATTGTTGCAGCTATCAATTTTTCTTCTCTAATAATAACTTCTGATTTATATCGTTGCGGGATCCAAGACAGTTATTTAAGTCTCTGGTACGCGCCGGACTTCAGTGTTCCGGTGTTTTCATGGTTGTATTTACTGTAGATCTTGGCTTAAAGAAGTTGCAGCGGTTTTGGGAGGATGTGGCGGGTTGGTACCATTTAAATAAAATATGCCCGAATATTTGATGTTATTTGGCCACTGGATTGGATATATGAACTGAATAGCATGTCAATAATTAGTTTTTTAGTTCAGATGTATATCAGTATAATTTCAGTTTAGTACATTGGATAATTAATGAGATGCTCGTGAAGAACTCAATATCATCATAACTTGTTAAATACTTACATGATACTAATGAAACTTCACATACATTTGAAGGCAGTTACTAGCTTTAAAATAACGTTTAAGTAAGTCTTTAGAGCTTTCGTTGAGAGTGCTAGAACCAATTAAAGTGTTTTTCTATTTGAAATAACCTTTAGGTTATGTATTATTTTGGTTTTTTAATGCAGAACAAATGTAAACTAATTGCTAAGAAGCCATGTACAAAATATGATAAGAATCCGCTTAACCATGTCAAAGATCTTAAAAACCAAAAACTTTACCCCACCAAAATCTCGAATAACTTCGCAAAAGATGAAAGAACAAATACAAAATAAGGCACAACGTTTAATTAGACAAAGTTTATACACACTTCATCTAGACAACTAATTTTGTAGCTAGTAATTATTGAAATATTCCCATTAGAAAGAAAAAAGTCTGGGTGGGGTAACGTTACCCCAGCAGGAAATGTTTTTGTGATATAATTAAAAAACTACAAATTTAAAAATGTGCGCAACAATTACAGAAGCCGCACAACTAATTATCTATAAGATTCAAATGACCATTTTCGACAACATCTGGCCTGGGTAACGCATACGGATTTTGGTGTTACATTGTTTTCGCACAATCGAACCAACAAAACTATGAAACTAGAGAATTATATTTTAAACCTGATTGAAAATGAGCCTTTGACTGCCTAGTTGGCCAAGTGGTCGCAATCGCGACTCGGCAATGGGTCTCGGGTTCAATTCCCGTGTCGGACAAAGTATTACTGGGTTTTTAAAAAAAAATCTCAGTAGTAGCACGGAGTCTGCAAATGTGCCCTGTATATGGCAAATATGGCAATAGGCTCACCCCCTATTACATGAGACTCATAACATAAATATAGTGAAAAGTGGGTATTACATTGTACAGTGGTATAATGTGCACCTCTGCCTACCCCTTCGGGGATAAAAGGCGTGATGTTATGTTATGTTGAAAATGAGCTACCTCTTTTGCTCGTTCTACTCCATTGGAATCACACAAAATGTTTTTGTTGACGTTCAAAAGTGACGTGAGTATGGTTTTCGGTAACGCGACCAACACGTTCATGACGTTCGGAGCTCTCATAAGCTGCTAGAAGTTAACCAACCAATCGGAGGACTAAAGGCACTTTTTTATTAAATGTCCAGCTAAGGTGCCGCTTTACAGAAACTTGTGAATGTCGAAAATAATCCTTCACGAAACTAATGCTGATGTCTATAATGATAAATAACTGAAAATGAAAAACTGTGTCTTATGTCTATATTCTTTTTGCAGTCGCAGGTCTGCACGAAGGAATTCCTTAAGGGATATGCAGTACCTATGTACCTCATGCTTGTAATGTGTTGTCCTCAGTAATATTGTCTGCTGTATGCTGTACATATAGGGATAAATAAATCTGTTCAAATAAAAATTAATTTCTGTTCGTTAGTCTCGGTAATACTCGAGAACGGCAGAACTGGTTGGGCTTATTTTGGTCTTGAAATGTTCGTAGAAGTCTAGGGTAGGTTGAAAGGTGGAAAAATAAATTACTATGCAGAACGAAGTTTGCTGGGTCATCTAGTAAATAAATAATTTTTCAATAGGGAAGATGACTAATTTTTATTTTATTGTCCGTCTGGTAGATTATTTAAAAACATTAGTTTTTTTATTTTTTTTACAGAAATGAATACTTTCGACTCGATATATTGATTTGAAATGTCGCATGACTTCACTTCTATGTACATTTTATAAGTAGAAATGACGTTTTAGCCCCCACTCCTAAACTTTGATTCGTTATATCTGAGTATCATTTTATTATACAACGAAATAAAAAAATATGTTTCTAATATTTTTGCATTACCTAACTGACGGAATAATTATGCTTTTAATTTTCATACCCTGTCATTATCCTTATTGTTATACAAACGTGAACTCTAGGGCAAACCTCTCTTATGAAGATTAAGTTTCTGACATAAATGGACTATTATGGGTTGATGACAATCATATAGAAGAAGCCATATAAACTTACTTGACTTTTGCTCTCGTTAGTTTTGGTAGCTCCTCGGAACCGGAATCTTCTTCTTCACGCATCTTGACCAGTGCCAGTACTCGATCATTTGTCACTACTTTCTGGCATTATAAAACACAAAATTATTATAGTCTAGCATTTATTATTATATCTAAGATTAACCTTCTTTTTCTGTCTGAGTGTTTTACTACACTTGTTTTTTTGTTTTATTATATAGGAAAACAAGAAGATGTTATCTCAAAGTAATGTCACCCAAAGTTCTCATGGACACTCACAAGACCAGATTTAATTTATTAGTTTATATGTGCATGAAATATCTTCTCTTGTTTTTGAAAACCCTTGATGTATTTACAAGTTTAGCTTAGTACACAGCAACTTATCAAGACGCCAAACCAAATTCGGTTTTCCACCTCAGTGATCATAGAAAAATAAAGCGATGACCATTGAACTACAATCCTTGAATCTAGTTTAAATTAAAATAGTTACCTTAATAATTTTCCTGACACTAGTTTCATCTAGATTATTTTTTAAGGCAACTGCGTGAAGACTTCTGTCCACATCCGCAGCATTCTCTGGTAATACAACTTCGTGTTCACTGCTCGGTTCACTGCTGGATTCACTACTCGAGCTGAAAGTATGATAGATTTAATTAAATTGTTTATCATTTAGCAATGACACTATTCAAAAGGGTTAATAAACAATTTATCGCATCACCCCAATCCCTGAATCCCCCAATAGGCCGGCACTGCACTTCTAATGCCTCTGATGTTCCGGTTGTTCATGGGCGATGCCAATTGCTTACAATTAGGTGATCCGTCAGCTCGTTTCCCGGCTAATCCAATAAAAATAAATATTTTTTAATCTGGTGTGATCCTGTTTCTTGTCTTATCATTTCGACAGGGTTGATCAACAGGTAATACAATATTAAATTTTGTTAAAATGGCCAGTTAGCTTGGACTATCATAAAAACGTTTTTATATTCATATCCTTATATAGTTTGCATAGTACAAACTATTTTAAAAAAATACACCACTAATTCTTATTTAGTTTGCGCATTTCATAATGACGCATCCTATACAAAAGCAGACACTCTTCAAGATTTAATACCATGCCGGTAATGGTAATTTAAATCTCATTAAAGACCAACTTTCTGATTATACCAAAAATACCATATTAATATGCAAAGGCTTTTCCATTCTTCTAGGATGTTCTAGAAATCTTAAAGTTGAGTATATCACAACTATCAAATAAAACTATGCCATAATATTCAATTAGTAAACAAAGATTCAAAATTAAAGAACTTGTTACCGTTTTCGTTTCTTCCCGCGAACTTTTCCTTTTGTTTTTACGGAATTATTGTCCTTCGTTGCACTTTCATTAGGTCCAGATTTTGTACTCTGTCCACTTTTATTCATGATTAGTATTTCTTTAGTTTGAGGTTCTATTAAAAATAGCTTTAACTCGAACAAACGGAGTGTAAAAACAGCACGATCAACAACAAACCCAGACGAGGTGATAGTGATAACAAGTACAACTCAACTGCCACTGTCAGAAGTGTCAGATTGTTTCACTGTCAGTGTCATTTCAATACTTTGTGAAGTCTGGGATGCTAAAAGAAAACAAAATTATGCCTATGTTAAAAATTAAATGGAATTTTGCTTTTAAAAATGATTTCCACATTTGTAAAAATAAATTATAATTAAATATTATTCGATTAAGATAGGCTGAGATAGATTTTTTCTTAACGAAAAATTTAACTTAAGAGTCAGGATATTTTTCTAAAAAAAAACTATGTTATCAACCTGTTATCAAACGACTGACTTGACAGCGCGGCGTCTATTGCTCTCCCATAATCTTCATCTCAACGATTAGCAGGAGCATTTAAAAGTATCAGATTTATCAAAGAGCGCTACGATCATAGAGAATACATAATTATGGGCTGTGAGTGATCGTAACATGCGCGGGAGGCAAGCACTTAGGTACTCTACCGCGACCGTCACCATTCGGCGATCGACATCGACTTAAACTAAGTGATTAGCAGGGTATGACTTCGCCGTTATAAAGCTCTTGTCGACGGAATGAAAATAGTCCAGCAGTTCAGTCGATACAGTTATTAGTTATAACACCACTGATTACTAAAATAAACTTACAAACAACAATCACTAGTGAATTGCTTCGATGACATGACCATAGTAATTAGTATGGCAGACTAAGGGTATGTATTTAGGTAGGTAACCTTATCCAAAGAGCTCCAGGGTGTGGTGTGTGTCCTTAGAAGATGAGATACTAATGAGATTTTGTACTTTTTACCTACTTGGTTTCGGGCCTCCCGAGCCAGTTGTTCCGGTTCGAAATCGTAAAGAAGTACCTACTTGCTAATACGTATCTAGATAACAAAGATAACATATGCACCTCAAATTATTACAGAAATGTCATCATCTTTTTTAAAAATAAAAAGAAAGGAGGGGCCGATGTTTATTGGTCTGTTATAAATTATGAAATTCCTATCTTAATTGTCGCCTGATGGAAAACAAGATCCTGTGATAAATATTGTTGTAGTCCGAAGGGTTTTTCCACATTGGAGCCCTGATTGACAGATACCATTGGTTTTAATTAATTAGGTACCATCAGAGATATTTCGGCGAGTTCAGACGAATCGGTAAACAAGTCTTATTGAAAATGATAAAGAAATAATTGGTTTGTTTTTAATAGATTCCCTCTGGGAGAAGGCATTTAGATCTTATATTGACTGAATAGGTATTACCTTTCTACTCTGGCGTTGATAGTCATTTTAATAGAACCTACAAATTGATGACAAAGTAGAAGTATAAGATAAGTATTTATTGCGCTAATTTGTTTGTCCAGAATTTTCGATCGCATCTGCTAAATATTGAATATCTCCCCTCCAGTGAGGAATAGCCTTTATATGATAAGTTTAGATATTATACAAGATGACGCATCAATGTGTATGTTTGTTTTGAATCGCTTATTTATCTCAATTATGTTTAAATGCTCGGAATGAGCAGTCAACAGTATTATTTTATTTAGTCCAAAAATAACCAGTGTTTGTGTTCAATCCTGCTATAAATATTTGTTTGGTAAGTTTTTATTCATTGTATTCAACGGTACCTATCAGTAAGATTTTATTTCGAAAAACAAAACCGTACTGATATTTTTTGCGTAGGTACCCTTACGTTAATTAGGTATTAAGACATTAATATTAATGGATGGTCTACTGATTACGTTATTTCCTACACAATAGTTATGTCAGGCCCATTTATAGGACTTAAGAAAGGTTTCGGTGTGATAGGTAATAGTAAATATTATAACTTGTCCACAGGAAGCAACAACATCCAAAATGCGGGATCAGCCAAATATAGCCGTGATCGGTGCAGGAGTAATCGGTACGACAGTGGCCAAACTCTTTCAAGACCAACTCAGAAATGCAAACATCACAGTCATAGCTGATAAATACTCAGCAGACACTACCAGTGACATAGCCGCTGGTATCTTCAGACCAGGGACAAGTTTTAAGGGACCCACAATGGAAATTACCAAAAAATGGCTGAAGGACTCATGGCAGTTTTGGCAAGACATTCTCAAGACCCCCGACGCTGAACAAATGGGTGTTATGCCCTTAGGGTCTTACATATTTTCAAAGGAAAACTACCATGTCACTAGAAATCATCTCATGGAAGATTTGGTGCCAATCTACCGTCCTGCTACGAAAGAGGAACTCAAAATGGGCCCTGAAGGAACCAAATTCGGATCCTACTTTTCAACATTGAAAGTCGAATGCGAGCGCTATTTGCCATGGATGGGAAAAATAATAGTCGAGAGAGGCGGTAAAATGACACGCGGTAAAGTGGACAGTTTTGCGTCACTCTCCAATTACGACCTTGTATTTAATTGTGCAGGTTTAGGTGCGAGACATTTATGTAATGATCACGATCTGGTACCCATCAGAGGTCAAGTGATAAAGGTCAAAGCGCCATGGGTCAAATACGCACTTTATGGAGATTATGATACGTATATTATACCGGGTCTGAATGGGGTGGTAACATTGGGCGGTGTAAGGGGTTACGACAGTTATAATTTGAATTATTGCAAGTACGACGCAGCGGCCATATTGGAGCGTTGTTGCGAGTTTCTTCCTAATTTGAAAAATGCGGAAGTCATTGCGCATAGAGTAGGTCTGAGACCTCACAGACTGCCAGTTCGTGTGGAGCCCGAGCTGATAGATGGTTTGAAAGTGGTGCATTGTTACGGGCACGGTGGGTATGGAGTGATGACTGCGCCGGGCACCGCTATCAATGCAGTAGAACTGGGTGTTAATTTCTTGCGTAGTAATGTTAAAAACAAACTTTAAAGCTTATTAGTAGCGCAGTTAATAACCTTTTACTAGTTACTACTACTAGAACTATAGAATAAATTGAACAAAGTTATGAATTTTCGATAGAGTATTCCAGAGACCCTGGTCGTTGGCAAATGAAAGTTGTAAATAAACTTATCGTTATCAAAAGTAGATAAGAACTTGATACAGCTGAATGTTATTTTTTTAATTACGTAAGTAAATATTACGATTATTGTTAAATAATAAACAGTTGATAAGAATGACTTAGTATCGTTGTTTTTACAAAGTTTATTTATTGTTACTAGCTTTTACCCGCGGCTTTGCTCGCGTCACGAAAGGATAAAAAGCCTATGTAACTATTCATCCCTTCAACTACCTTCAGTTAAAAAATCACGTTAATTAGTACCTCCGTTCTGCCGTTTAAGACAGACAAACAAAAAAATACCTTTCCGCTCGCCTTGAATTCGGTTATATCGCGCTATTTAGATTTTTCCAATAAGTAGGTAATTCGTTGACTGGTTTTAAATGACAAACAGCGCCATCTATACCAATACATCTATACAAGTACCCTATTATTTAATCCAGACTTCTAACTTTACGTCTGCAAAATTTCAAAGCAATCATTTTAGTAGTTACGGCGTGAAAGCGGAACAAACAAACTCACTTTCCGATTTATAATATAAATAAGGAAGTAAGGATGTACGTTTATTGTCTTGCTCTTCTTAAGAAGTCAAAGTCGATGTCTAGTTCAAGGGTCGGGTTCGAACCCCGATTTTCTGCTTATAAAAACGTAGTAGGGTTGGGTAGCAACATGAATTACGAAAAGTTGGTGCAAGTTTAGCTTTTTTGATACTTTGAATGATACAATGATTTCATGGCAGTGATTGTGAATCGATCGAAGTACGAACGGGGTGGTTTTTAGTCAGTAAGAGTCTGACACTCCCTCCCGCCTCACCCAGGCGGGAGAAGTCATTCAATGATTTTTCCCCCCTTTGAAAAAAAGGGGTTCAATTCCCGCGCTAAATAAATTGTTCTTTTTCTGGGTGTGGTGGTGGCATGATAAATATTTTGAATTTTGACATAATATACATGAGTTGATGTATATAATACAAAGTGAAATGTTTAACTTTTTATTTTTATTCTATAATCTTTTAGTTTATTTGCACTAATTAAGCTTTTTTTTTTTTTTTTTTTTTTTTTTGTATGTCTTTACCATTCACGGGACCACAGGGTCCCGGTCATTTGGGAGGCGTACGAGGGGCCGAAGCCAACTGCGCAGAGGCCCTTTAGACAACTTTAATATAAATGTAATGGACACACAAACCGGCGACTATCCCTGTATGCACTATGGAAATGCATCCAAGGACAGTCCCCGGTTAGTGTAGAACTATTGTGAATAATGGAAAAAAAAAAGGTAGGGCTATGGATGGGTTGCTGTGGACTGGTAAATTGGGAACTATGGATGACTATGGCACCTGCCGAAACAATGTAATTTTTACACGTAAAAATGGCAGGCGGAGACTCGCCAACTCACCGACCGGGCCCCGGGAATGGTTGCTAGATATAGCAACAGAGGGGCAACGAGAATGTGAGTGGCTGAAGGGTTAAGAAACTACCACCGCTTTCTACTCAGATCATCTGCTCCAGCCGAAGCCTCCTGCATCCCTGGCCCACTCGCGACTTACGAATAGTTTCTTACCCTCCGAGCAGGATCACTGCTCTCGCGACTCCACTCTGGACGGCCAATGAAGGCAAGCCAGAGGTGGGAGACCTGTTCCTTGTCATCGTTCACTCCAGCCAGCCAATTAAGGCAAGCCGGAGAAGAAGGAACGGTGACTTCTCCCTGGAGCACTCGGGATGATGGTAGCCCTAATAATAAAGCCCTAGTAATTAAGCTTATTATTATCAAGTTTAGAATGTGAATTCCCCTTAACACAAATAAAGCACATTTGCTCAAGACAAATCTTTAGCTTTTTCATTAAATTCTAGTAATAACTCTTTCATGTCTTCATAACCAGCTATTTCCTGTGCCTCCCTCAATGGCAGCCATTTTAGATCTTGGTGTTCATCTGACAGTTGTACTTTTGTCTCTGGATTCTTCAATTTTGCCAGCCAGTACACAACCACTTTAGGTTTGTTGTTGACATTGTAATTTAATACCTTTGTCACATCTTTGAACACCTGTAAAAATGGAAATAAGTAATTTATTAAGAAACCAGAAGTATTTTTTAACCACTTGACTGCCGGTATATTAAACACAATAAAAAAACTAAACTAAACTTCCATTTCCAGTTACTTTGTTGCTTGAGTAAATATGAAATACGTAAACAAAATAAAAAAAATAAGTATCTTTAATAACAAAAAAAAATTCCAGTGGTACAAAAATAAAAGGTTTCTACACATTTTATTTTATTTTACATCTACTTACTTCTAAATCCTCTTCAGACAAACCAGCTTCTTCTTTTGTCTCTCTCAAAGCTGTTACCCAATCAGATTCTCCGGGATCAACATGACCTGCAAAATTAATTGGATGTATTGTTGAATACAAAAATTATTGTATTTAATAGCAACATTTTTTTCTACATGAAAATTTTTGTGGTACATCTATCAAACGTTAAAGTTTGGTGAGTTTAGAGTTAAGGTCACACCTATGTAAAAGTACTTTAAATAAATTTGTTTTAAAAAAAAGAAAAAACTATTGTAGTGTATATGTTCAATTTTAATTTTTAGTATACCAACATGAAGTGGGGCAGTTCGTAACTTATTAGTTTTTAACTAAGGCTTGGCTTATGGTAATAGGCGGAATAGGCTGGCCGTCGCCGGCTTCGTACCTAAACTTTGTGCAACAACTTACAACTTGGTAGGTACCTAGTATCCGAAAAGTTGGTATAATAATTTCCAACTGCGTGTAACATTTCTGACTGCAACACTAGTAAATATGATTAATTACCCTTAGGTGGAGTCCAGTGGTGTTCTCCATAAGAAGTTTGTAACATCAGAAATTCTATTGCTTGATTTACACTCCTAAATATAACCAATCCTGCTGCACGTTTAGGAGACATTTTAAAGTAGTGCTTATAAATATGATATATGAATTACTGGAAATCTATAATATTTGAAACGTTACGCTTTTACATAATTAAATTATGTGGAAAAATAAAATAAAATAATCTTTATTTTGAACTTTTGACTTTCCACTTCATTCAAGTCATTTGTCATTGTCAATTTTAACAGCTGAATCAGAACCGTTCAGAAATGTAAACTAGAACTGATTGCAAAAACAAAATGTTTTTTATAATTTTATTTATCACTCAGTCTTTTAATATACCGATTACAATAAGTGTATTTTGAATATAACAATCGTATTATTTGAAAAATATTTTAAATTACATAAATCCTTATTCAATGCTCTGGTCAAGAGAAAATTCTAAACTTCGTTTTGACAATCTGACATTCAGAATGACATTTCGAAACCAACGGTAGAAAAAAAAAAGAATTCAAACAGTTCAAACTGCAACGGTGAATAACAACATTTCATTGAAACGACTGTTATGAAATTGTTTGTTTATTAGTATTCTCGTAATATTCACATGTGATTCAAAATAAAAACTTTAATAAAATAATAAACTTGTAAAAATAAAATAGTTTGTGTACCGTCATACCATGTTACAAAAATGGAAGCTTATTATTAACAATTGGGTAAGTATCAGATGTTTCACAACTGTCGTTGTAGATAATTGTTGTTTTATTTTACTTTTAGATAAAGATGTTATTGTTAACTTTATATTTCGTAGATAAACTGTTACTTCAACGAAAACAATCAAGATGACCGGACCGTTAACATAGAATCATTACTGAATATAATATCTCATTTACATGAGAACCTTAACCTAGATGAATCCAAGTCGTCTATATTGGAAGCGCATACAGTCGAGGGGTTTTTGTTGGAGAAGTATCCAGAATTTAAATTTGAAAATGGAACAGTTGAGTCAACTAATGAGGATGATGCATATCTGGTGGCATCATTGTTGCTTTTCTTTGTATGTGTAAATTCTAAGGACGTGGACATAAAGAGTGCGATGTGTAGCAAGCTGAGTGGTGATGATCAAGAGATTATCCTTAAATTCACCAAGAGCCTACTGGAGTGTAGTCCTATCACACTCAGGGACCTACAGGCAGCTATTACAGGTAACTGAATATTACTTTTTTCTAATTCCAGCATAGACTGGGTGTAATGGTCAGTATTATTATTACAAAACTAAACAACCCTTTGTGTTTGCCATTTTTATGTTAATTGTGTAACAGCTGTCTAGTTGGAAGCCACAGCTGTTGCTAAGGGCCCACCCCTTACATGCTAACTAGTACCTATATAACTTTAAAATAGAATAAAGAAACTTTCTTTATACATTTATTCTCTTTGATTTAAATAGTTTGATTGTTTACAAACTAAATAAATTAATGAACATAACTAAAGTGTGTTTTATACAACTAGGTACAAATAACTTTTTATATTTAATACATTGCAACTTTATATAATTTTTTTCAATTCAATTACAAAATCAACATTTTTATTACAGAAGCATGTGGACCAGAAATGGCGTCTGGACATGTGAAAGTAGCAGAAACACCGCCGGCTTTGCGTTCATTGCATGGTGAGGTACGGAGACTGCAAGCAGCACTGGATGCTGAGAGATTTGATCGGAATTATCTGCAAGAAGAACTGGCTCGGACTAACTTGAGGCTGGAAAAACTAAGTAAGTTTTCAATGTGTATTATGGCAGGTTTAATACGAACAAACACTGCCTTTAAATATATATATAAAGCACCTAGGTTTAGTGACAGATAAACTGATGGACTAATCTCCTCTTGATGTTTCAAAAGTGCCTATATGTGGTCTAGTTGAAATGTATGACTTGACTTGCTGAAGCAAATTATTATACAAAGCTATTAATCCGATTTGAAACATTCTTTTTGTATTGGATAGCCCATAATATCAAGGAAAGCTATAAGTTATAAAACATCACGCTAAGATCAATAGGCGACAAGCAGAGTGGCTGAAACCGCGCTGAAGTAGCTATTTAGGGATTAATCACTTAGCAAGAAGCATCAAGCATGCAAGTAAAATACAATTGTGTTGAATATGTATATACTTAAGTAAAGAGAACAATGAATCATTACTTAGTTAACTTAGTATTGTGTTGCAGCTGCAACAATGCTTCTACTAACTTCCAGTCGGTTCCACTGTACAGTTTGTTTAGACTTGGCTCTGGAGTGTAGTCTAAACAAAGAAAAAACAAATGACACAAGCGGTGGCCTTAGTACGAAATCGAAACGAGACGGCGTTCTGTGCTCTGATTGGTTTGTTCATTGGAGCCGGCGAATCACAGCGCCAAACGCGTACTCGTTACGTGTACTTTAAACGAAAAAGAAACTCGTACTAAGCCATCAGGAATTACGGCAGTCACTTTAAAAAAAATCCTTTGTCATGAATGCATTTATAAGAGGAGTACTCACGCCACGTTGTATAGCTGCTGGTTGTGCAGCTACTGTGCGTGCAGAGAACCAAAGTTATCGACATAGCCCAAAGGATCAGCAAGCTGAAGTGGGGTAAACGTGTTCTAGAGTGGAGACCGCGTCTGGGCAAACGCAGTGTAGGGCGCCCTCCAGCTAGGTGGAGTGACGACATCTGCGAGGTGGCTGGCAGTGGTTGGATGAGAAGAGCTGAAGACCGAGCTCAGTGGCGTGCCATAGGAGAGGCCTATGTCCAGCAGTGGACGAATACAGGCTGATGATGATGATGATAATGATGTGCAGCTACTGCGCAAAACGCACAGATATCTATATAGTGCTTGAAGAACTATTTAAGTACTAGCTTGTTCACGCGGTATCGTTTGCGCTCTTTATAGGGGTTGGCAGGTTTACGAAAAAAATGATACTCTATTTTTTGTAGTTACAAAATAATCTGCATACTAATTTTAACTGTCTACCTTGTAAATTGCGAAATGCTCCATACAAAGCTTACCTCCATATCTACTCCCTATTTTATGGAAGTTGGGGGTAAGAAAGAGACAAAAATTAGGTTATGCCACTGACCATTTTTTTCTGCTACACCTATCCACTTAAAAATTAAGTCACTGCGTTTGGAGACGTATGATAGTTGCATAAGTTTTCAAAATGTTAGAGATGAAATTAATGTTCCCGGACGACATAAGTATGATACAAGTTCCAAAGGTCTTCTCAGAACTAGTTACTCCTTTATTTACAAAAGAAACGAACATTAATTAGAACATACCGAGATTGAAATTAGAACTCAAAAGTACCTACTTTACGGACGGCTTTTCTGCCTCATTGGCCGATTGCAAGTGCGATTGCCGGGCAAAGGCAAGGGGTCTCGGGTTCGATTCCCGTTTCGGGCAGTGTTACTGCGATTAAAAAAATGTCAGTAGTAGCTAGTAGTAGTAGTAGTACTGGTAGTAGTCTGGAATTGTGCCCGGTATATGGCAATAGGCTCACCCCCTATTACATGCGACTCAAAACATAAATAGTGAAAAGTGTGTGTTACTTTGTACAGTGGCATTATGTGCCGTAATATGCATCTCTGCCTACCCTTTCGGGGATAAAAGGCGTAATGTTATGTAAAGTATTTTACGGAATTTAAATTTTATTTTATTACTCATGTCACATAACACTTTAAGGTCAATAAGTTGGTGGCTCAATCATAGTCCTTATTTGCTAATAATAATATTTATATTCAAGTACAGTTTACTTTGTCCTTGATATATAAATCAATGGCTTCATTGTTCATATTGTAGCTAAACTCCATGGCACACTGTCGACTTAAGTATACATACATTGATGAACATAGTATCACTGTATCACCATAGTGGGCATTCTATGACAGACGATATTATGAAAGTGGCTAGTGGCGACAACTGGACAGTTGTGTGATATTGGAGAAGTTTTAACAGTGTTTCAAAACAAAAATCCTGTAGGATTTTTGTGTCACCACACAATGTATTGTGTGGTGACAGTGTGCTTCTAGAGTAGAATAGGTACATTTGTCACACACCACCTCTATTGCTCCCATGGGGATCGTGAGAGCATATTAAAGAACTATCTTAACAGAGACTTGGACCGATTCTGATGATAATGATTGTAATTGTTTTATATTTTGTTACTTATGCTAACATGCTTATTTATTTCTAACTAGCTTCTGCCCGCGACTTTGTGCGTGCAACCCCTTTTATTCCCGTTCCCATTCGTAATTTTCGGTAAAAAGTATTGGATTAAAGTGTGCTATGTCCGTCTCCTGGTCCTAAGCTACCTACCCATCAATTTTCATCCAAATCGGTTTAGCAGTTTTCTATATACTAATATTATAAAACTGAATAGTTTGTTTTTTTGTTTGTTTGAACGTGCTAATCTCCGAAACTACTGATTCGAATTGAAAAATTCTTTTTGTGTTTTATAGTCCATTTATCGAGGAAGGCTATAAGGCTATAATATAAAACATCTCGCTACGACCAATAGGAGCCGAGCAGAGCGGGTGAAACCGCGCGCAAGTAGCTAGTTAAGTTATAAATAGTGTAACTAACACGACTTTCTTTTATAATAATTTATTTCTTTTATAATAAAACTAATAATTTGTGAAATTTTCGCAGTGAAAGACAAGGAACAATACAAGCTGGATATAGTGAACTTGAAGGCTAAGATATCCATGTGTTGCGGTGACGACCAGGATCAGCGCGGGACGGAAGCTGAAGCGGAGTCCTCTGGGAAACTGCAGCGGCAGCTCCAGGATATGGAGGAACGCCTCGTCCGTACCCAGGAAGCACTCGATGATGTTACTTATGAACGGGATACTTATAAAGCTAAGGTAAGAACATTACATTCTTTAATTGAAGAATATAAAGAAGTATTTCATTGTCCAGGAGTGTTTTCGGTTGAAAATGACATCCATTTTATCAGTTTGCTAGGTTATTTAAAAAAAAAGTGTCAAGGGCTTAACTTGTAAATCACAAAACAAATAGAAAGGAGTGAGTGAACTACAATATTGTGCATG